AAAGAAAAATCTTTTTTAAAAAATCAGAAATGAAACAGGAGAAATAATAACTGATACCAAAGAAATACAAAAGATTGTAAGAAAATATTATGAACACAACAGGAAAATATTAAGATGGGTAACAAGACAGGAATGTCTGCTTTCACCTCTCTTATTCAGCATCGTTCTGGAAGTCCTAGCCACAGCAATCGGACAAGAAGAAGAAATAAAAAGCATCCAAATTGGAAAAGAAGAAGTAAAACTGTCTTTATTTGCAGGTGACGTGATATCGTACATAGAGAATCTCAAAGATTCCACCAAGGAACTACTAAAACTGATAAACAAATTCAGCAAAGTGGCAGGATACAAAATTAACATCCAGAAATCAGTTGCATTTTTGTATGCCAATAACAATCTAACAGAAGTGGAAATCAACAAAACAATCCAATTCACAATTGCTTCAAAAAGAACAAAATACCTAGGAATAAACTTAACCAAGGATGTAAAAGACCAGTACTCAGAAAATTATGAGACACTGAAGAAAGAAATTGAAGAAGATACAAGTAAGTGAAAGCATATACCACTTACTTGTGGTTCATTGGTAAGAAGAATAAACATCATTAAAATGTCCATACTACCCAAAGCAATCCATAGATTCAATGCAATTCCTATCAAGATTTCAGTGACGTATTACACAGGACCAAAACAAATATTTCAAAAATTTATATGGAAACACAAAAGGCCCCACATACCAACAGCGATTCTGAGAACTAACAAGGTAGGAGGAATCATGCTACCTAATATTAAACTATATTATAAGTCCACCGAAATCAAAACAGCATAGTACTGGCATAAAAACAGACATGTAGATCAATGGAACACATTAGAGAGCCCAGAAATAAATCCACACCTTCATAGTCAATTAACATTTGACAGAAGAAGCAAGCACATAATGTGGGCTAAAGATAGTTTATTCAATAGTAAACTCTCTATTGGTGTTGGGAGAAAATGGATAGATATGTGCAGACCAGACCACCTTCTAACATCACACAGAATACATTCAAAATAGATTAGAGACAAATATTAGACCCAAACCCATAAAAATCCTAGAAGAAAACATATGCAGCAAAATCTTGGGCAAAGCTCTTAGCAATATTTTATCAGGTATATCACCCCAGGCAAGGGAAACAAAAGAAAAAATAAACAAATGGGACTTCATCAAACTAAAAAGTTTTTGCACAGCAATGGAAAACACTAACAAAATAGAAAAACAATACATAGAATGGGAGAACGTATTTGCCAATACACCTGATAAGCAGTTAATATCCAAAATTTATAAAGTACTTACAAAACTCAACACCATGAAAACAAAAACAAAAACAAAAAACAACACATTAAAAAATGGGCAAAGGACCTGAGTAGATATTTCCCCAAAGAGGACATACAGATGGCCAATAGACATATGAGAAGATGCTCAATGTCACTAATCATCAGAAAAATGCAAATTAAAACCACAGTGAGATATCATCTTACATCGGACAGAATGGCTATCATCAATAAATCAACAAGCAACAAGTGCTGGCCAGCATGTGGAGAAAGGGGAACCCTTTAGTACTGTTGGTGACAATGCAGATTGGTGCAGCCACTGTAAAAAGCAGTATGGAGATGCCTCAGAAAATTAAAGATTGATCTGCCTTTTGACCCAGTGATACCACTTCTGGGAATATACTGAAGGTAGCTGAAACACTAATACGAAAGACTGTAAGCACCCCTGTGTTCACTGAAGCATTATTTACAACCACTAAGATATGAAAGCAGCCCCAGTGTCCATTAGTAGATGAGTATATAAAACAACTATGGGACATTTACAGAATGGAGTACTACTCTGCTATAAAAAAGAAGAAAATGTTGGCTTTTGGACAGAATGGGTGGACCTGGAGAACATTATGCTAAGTGAAATAAGCCAGTTAGAGAAAGACATATGCCATATGATTTCCCTCATATGTGGAATCTAATGAACAAACTGAATTAACAAGCAAAATAGAGACAGACTCATAGATAGAGAGCAGGATGACAGGTAAGGGTGGTATGAGTGGGGTGTGGAGGGATTGAGCAAACAGAAAAAAGGACTCAAAGACACGGACAACAGGATGGTTATTGTGGGGGGTGGGATATAAGGGAGCTAAATGGTAATGCAAAATAATACAATAAAAAGTGATATGAGTACTAGGCAGTAAAAAAGGAATATCATAAAGAATAGAAAATACATTTAGAGTACTGTATGTATTTATTTAAAATATTTGCATATAGCAGCCCATGCAGTTCAAATCTGCATTGTTGAAAGGCCAATTGTGTACGGATTCCTAGGCCCCACCTCTTTTACTGGGTCAGAATCTCTGAGGATGGATCCTAGGTGAATCTTTGTGTAGAAAGCTCTCAAGGCGGTTCTCAGTGGCAGACACCTCTTCTTTCTGGGCCAGTGCAGGTGAACTAATTGAAATCCATGGTTTTGTACTTTTAGTCAAATAACACCGAAAAGCTAGAAACCAGAATGCAGCTGAGATGATTTCTTGCTGTGGTATTGGGTTGGCCAAAAAGTCCTTACTATTTTTCCATAAAATAAAAGACACATTTTTCATTCTCACCAATAACTTTATTGATTCAGATATTTTGAGTATGTGGTCTATCTCCCACTGTCAACTTCTAGTGGGTAGAACCAGGGGTGCTGCTAAACATCTTCCAATGCATAATGCAGCCCCACAGCAAAGAATTACTTGGCCAAAATATCAGTACTATCAAGAAGCTTTGCAAACCACTTTGACACTTTCAATCAGTCACAGCATCTTCTCTATACAATGCACATGTCTTTTTTGGTGTTTCAATTGCATTTTTAGCTTTCTTGAAATAATAAAGCATAATACACTGAAAATGTGTGTTTTCTTCCATCTTCAATATTAAAATGGCTGCACAAAAATTCACCAATCTTGATAAGTTTTTAAAAATGCATGCTGATGTGACAGCTGTCACAATACAACCTAACAAAATTGTTTTAAATGAAGTTAAAGACAACTAAGCAGTACTAGAGCCATCATATGGAAAAAAACTTAACAGTGTTTGGTCAACCCAATACAAAATGCGTGCTCAATAAACAGAGTCAATTTGTTGAATGTCTGATGCTTATTTATTAGTTTCTTCAAATTATAATGTCATATAAATGTCAGGAGTATGTGGATTTGAATGGTAAGTCTTCAACACCAAAGCAAAGCATTGCAGGTACTATGAAATGCACCCTCTCCTCCCCCATGCACATAAGCATGCATTCCAGAATTGATGACCACTTTCTAGAATCCTTCAGTGGGATGCAAACCTTACTCAAAACATTTCCTTCTTTTTTTCATTGAGTGGCATGCCGCAGTTCCTGTGATTTTTAATTTTATGTGTCATCTTGACTGTGCTAATGAATGTCCAGATAGCTGGTAAATTATTATTTCTGAGTGTTTGAGGGATATTTCCAGAAGAGATTACCATTTGATTCAGTAGACTGAGTGAAGAAGATAGACCTCAACAATGTAGACAGGCATCATTTAATCTGGTGAGAGCCCAAATAGAACAAAAAGGTGGAAGAAGGGAAAATTCTCTCTCTTGAGCTGGTTACCCATCTCCTACCCTCAGACACTGAGCTCCTATTCTTGAACTCTGACTGAATTATACCACCAACTTCCCTGGTTCTCAGTTTACAAGCAGCAGATTGTGAGATTTGGCCTCCATAACCACAGGAACCAATTCCTATAATAAATCTTATATATATCCTACTGGTTCTATTTCTCTGAAGAATCTTGACTAATAAAGTTTCTCTGCAGTGTGTTCCCTCATTGCAAATCAATACATCTGATTTTGTCAGACTACGAGTTTGTTCTTGGTGGTCTATGGCTAAGTTTTAATGACACATATGCACTTGAAATATATATATTCTGAAGCTTTGGGGAGCAGTGAACTATGTATATCAATTAGGTCAAAAATTTAAATCATGGTTTTCAAGATTTATATATGTTCACCGATGTTTTGACTGTTATATCAATTAGAGATATATGTTTAAAATCTTCCTCTGTAATTCTGGACCTATTTCTCCTTTAAGTTCATTTGGTTTTTTTTATTTATATATTTTGAGGTTGGTGACTAAGCAAATAAACATTTACAATTGTTATAGCTCCCTGAGGTTCTGATACTTTTATCATTATGAAATGTCCCTATTTATATCTCTCTGATACTTCTTTCATTAGCAGCTGTTTTTTTCTGATGTTAATATTTCTACCTACCTATGTTATGGTTTATTTTCTCTTTTGCCTATTTTTAAATTTAATCTAATGTTCTTTGATTATTCTATTTTCACCTTTTCTTAGTTATTAGTTATGTTTTACAACATTTGATTATTCCTTTAGTGAATACACTAATGATGGCGACATGCAACTCTTATTGTTTCATATACAACTCATTTATATTTTATCAGCAATACAGCACATAGTATTTATGTATAAGATCACAAATGCAAACATCTGATCACTTCATCAATCTTCTACATTTCATAATGAAACAATATAATTATAAATTAGCTGCACTTTATTTTTTAAAGTTGGAGCATTGTTGTGTATATTTGTGTAAAAATTATTTGTGTAGGTACATGATATTACGTACTAATTTTAGCTCAAGATAATTATTATTCCATTTCAAGATTTTTGTAAATTGAGAGGTCTGGTAGTCTGATAGGTTGAGAACAATGTGTGTAGAATCACTATGTTTGCCAATATTGATTTCAACACAGATAAGACCTAACACAAAGAATGCTTTTTATTACTATTATTTCTATTATTTAAAAAAGTTATTATTGTTACATAAAACCGTTTAAGGCACCGAGTATTGATTGTCTCTTAGCCGGAACCTTAGGGTCCCCAGTCAGAGGCTCTCCTAAGCAGTCCTGGTCAAGATCCCGACCGGAACCTTGGCGCGTTAACGCTAGTTTCCGGCGGGCTCCTTAGAGTGGTGAACAGCGTTGGGCCCAAGGACCATGAAAGGGCCGGAGCCGGGTCCCGAACCTACGATGGAGGGGGACGTGCTGGATACACTGGAGGCGCTGGGGTGAGTATTCCTAGGGACGTCTTTCCCTCGAAAACCTAAGCTGTCCCTCGGCCTGGCTGCTGCAGTCTGCATCCTGCGGGCCTCTACGGGGCTCAGGCAGCTGGGTGCAGGCCTCCTTCCCTGCGTCGCTCCCTCCGGCGCCTACGGAGTTAAGAGGGGAGGCGGGAAAAAAATCCGTTTGGAGGGTTGGGGGTGGAGTAAGGCCGGAGAGCTGGGGCGCGTGGCCCCCTCTTCCAAACTCTTTGCCTGCGAACTCCGCGGCCAGGACTCGCAGTACTGGCGCGAAGTGACCCGGCCGGCGTCAGCCCTCCCGGGAAGCATGTCCCTACCCCGCGGGTGTTATTTTTGTTTCTGTCGTTGCCGCGCCCTGGCGGGGGAGCTGCTGGAACCCAGGGTGCTGCTGTGGACTGTTGTCTCCTACTGTGTACAACCATGGCTTAATTAGGCCGCGGGAGCAAATCTCTCCTGCTTCCTTGACTGAAAATGTTTTAGTTCAGTCCATTCATTCAACCATTCCATCTGTTCTTAAGCAACATGTTTACATGGTGTTAATATGTGTTCATTAGTGCATATTTATGTGCTATACCTAGGAAAAGTCAGTTTCAGATTACTAGCAGTTTACATAGTCCTGGGGGCTACATAGTATATACAATTCAGAGTGATAATTGTTATGAGAATACTGGGATGATGCGAATACTTCCAGGCATGGGGAGCAATACGTGCAACATAGCTTTCCTACAGCCTTTTCCTGTTTTTCTTCACAGCCATATTCCTTTCCCAAACGATCTTGACCTGCACATTATCTCTTGAATGTCCCTGCCCCTATCCCTAGTCAGCTCCAGGAAAACAGGTGCCTTTCCTCTCTTGTTCCCAGCATCATACTACCATGGTGTCTGGTACAATAAATCGTGTTTGAATGAATGAAGAAAAGATCAAAGACGAGCAGGCACAGAGGTAAGCATAGGGCCACATAGTTGAGAGTCAAAAAATACACGTTAAAGACATTGGAGTCATCTGTACAATTGTTTGCCTTGCCACATGCTGGAGTTGCTTGAATGGATTAGCCTGTGCCTTTGGAGGGTTATTATGAAGCATGAAACCCGCAGCTCCCTCTATCTTTTCCTGAAGCTGCACTTGCTTCTCCATCAACTGCAACTTTGGATCCTGATAATACCTACCTTGCAATGACCCACTGTTACAGAGCCTTGCACTTAGCTCCTGAATGTTTGCCAAATGAAGGAAAGAGTAGTGATTAATTAGGGGGCATTTTTTTAGGTCTGTGAAATCCCTTGGAAATTTTCACTTTACTTGGTTAAGGGAGGAACGAAAACAGGAAGTTAAAATACTTAGTTGAAATGTTTAGCCCTCAAACAATTTAAGCTCCCAAGTACTCCAGATAAGAATGGTGGGATTTTGGTCTTGGTGGTACAGTTCAGTTTGTTGGAGGATTCTCCCACAAACCAAAATGTTGAGAGTTCGATTCCTGCTCAGGGCACTTGCCCAGGTTGTAGGTTTAGTCCCTGGTTGGGGCATATACAAGAGGCAACCAGTTGATATTTCTTTCCCTTTCTCTCTCCCTCCTTTCTCCTCTCTCTAAAAATCCATAAGCATGTCTTTGGGTGAGGATTAAAAAAAAAAAAAAGAATGGTGGGATTCTGTAAATAGTTTATAAAAAAGGGAAAGTTAGTCCTTTTTTCCCCCTCCCTTTATTCCTTGCATTTGTTTGTATTATAGGTATTTAAAAAATGAAGTTTGCTCTAATTGACTTTTATTAAGGAAGATTAGTTTCAGGGTGTTCAATATGTAAAGTAAAATTTTACACGTTAGAGTTGATTTTTCCGGGAATACCTGAGAGCAAAAAATTTTGAAGTTTAAATTTTCCTATAAGGATAATGAAATGTAGGAAAAAAAGTAATTGTTTATTTAAAATAGGTGTTATAATTGAACACTGTTTTAAAATGCCATCTATGTAGATTGTGAATAATACATTTCTATTGTGATAAAAATATGAGCTGTCATGAATCAGATAAACTAAGAAATTAAAGGGAGGAATTAGAAGTGAACATCTATGTAAAAGAACAGTTTAGTGATATGGTCTGTTATAAATGAAAACAGGCTAGATATAACTTAGTTTACTTATCTATGAAAGGAGCAGGCTGGAGCAGATTATTTCAGAAGTTTCTCTCAGTTATGATAGTCTGATTTTGTAGAACAGTGAATCTCAACCCTGATTGTGGATCAAAATCATGTATGGAGCTTGGAAAAAAAAGTTCCAGTCTAGTATACATTGCAAACTGACTGGATCATGATCTTTTTGGGGGACGCAGTATAAGCATGCATTTTTTAGAAAGCTTCACAGCCTAGATTAAGAACCACCATTATGGAGAGAAGTTTATTTCAAATATTTATTGAGTATAACTCTATATTAGACACTGTCTGAGAAGTCAGAAGTGACCAAAATAGAATTATTCCCCGTCCCTATGGAGCTACAGTCTAGTGCAGGAAGACATGATCACGCGGATATTTATTAACTACAAGTGCTTTAAAGGACAAGAACTGGATGACATAAGATAATAGTAGGACCTATAGTCTTTTAGGGGTTAGTGATAGATTTCTGAGGAAGTGGCATTTGAGTTGATATAGGAACCGTCAGTAGGCGTTAACTAGGTGAGGCTGAGTGGGAAAGGAGGACAAAGGTGTCCTTACGGTTGAAAGGAGAATGCTGTGTTAGAAGAACTAGAAGTCGGCTAAGTGAGTGGCGGGCACAGAGCAAAGGCCAGAGTATTGGAAGATTGGATTGGAGAGTTACGGTAAGGTCAGGGCATGCAGCACTTTTCTGGCTATACTGTATTGGGTTGGCCAAAAAGTCTGTTTAGTTTTTTTCACCACCAAATAAAAGACACATTTTTCATTTTCACCAATAACTTTATTGATTTGGATATTTTGAGTATGTCCTCTATCTGCCATGTGGTATAACGTTGATTGTCCTCAGTTTATGTCTCTATTTGATGGCTGTCGACTTCACGTGGTCTGCCCAACCGTGGAGCATCATCTAGCTAGAAATTTCCGGCACAAAACTTCGCAAACCACTTTTGACACCTTCTATCAGTCACAGCACCTTCTCCACACACTGCACAAATCTTTCATTGCGTTTCAGCTGCATTTTTACCTTTCTTGAAATAATAAAGCATAATATGCTGAAAATGTTGCATATTTTCTTCCATTTTTATGTTAAAATGGCTACATAAAAATCACCAATTTTGATGTTTTTTAAAGAATGCACACTGATATAACAGTTGTCACAATACAATCTAACAAAATTGTTTCAAATGAAGTCAAAGACAACTAAGAGCTAGTTGGAAAATAAGCAAATCTTATGGAAAAGAAACAAACGAACTTTTTGGCCAACCCAGTAAATTTTTTTCTTTGTCATAACAGCAGTGGGGCATGATTGAAGGATTTTATTTTATTTTAATTTATTTTAATTTAATTTTATTTTATAGGGGAACGAAGGAAGAAAGAGGGAGAGAAACATCAACGTATGGTTGCCTCTCATGTGCCCCCTACTGGGGACCTGGCCCACAACCCAGGCCTGTGTCCTGACTGAGAATCTGACTGGCAGCCCTTATGTTCTCAGGCTGGCACTCAGTCCACTGAGCCACACCAGCCAGGGCTAATTGAAGGATTTTAAATAAAAAAGGGACGGATTAAATGTCTAGTTTGAAAAGTTACCTTTGTCAGTGAGATGGAGAGTGGATTGGAGAATTTAGGCAAGAAGCGATGGTTGCTTTTTGGCTGTGAACATGGAAAGAAGTGCATTAGGGGACTTAGTGGCTGACTGCATATTAGAGCTGAAGGAGATGATGGTATTAAAGATTCATTTCTGCAGTAGGTATTTATTTAGCTCCAAAATGAAATGATGTACCCTGGAATCTAAAATGAATAGGGGAGAAAGTGAAAACAGCAGGGAGCTAGTCAATACAGAGAATGCGGATGGACCAATGAAACGGAGGTAGAGATGATATTAAAGAATAGTTGTAGGTGACTGGTTTAAAAAGCAAGCTGAAAGAAAAGGTAGTAGGTTGTGGACTGCGAGTATCATATCTGAATTGGTGATTCCAGGTTGGAGTAGTTCCAGGTGATGATAGCAAGAGGGTAGTTCACTGACATGTAGTGGCAGAGGCTGGAAAAGAGGAAGTTAGGGAACTAAGATCTCAGGGCACTGGATAGGCTATACATACAACTTTGAAGAAACTTAACATAATTGCAAACATGGGGATGGGAAGGAAAAGTGAGCACAGTGAATGTTGGGGAGTGCCGAAGAGATTGGTAGATGAAAATCCCAAGAGAAAGGGTGGCAAATCAGACTGGCTTGAGCCTGGAGAGAGCAGGAGATATTTACAAGAAAATGAGGGAGCAAGGGTACAGATCTTATATTAGGAAGCAAGGAGAACAATTGCTGCCATCTCGTGGAGCGAGTAAACTAGCCAAAGCTAGAGGTGGTAGGGATAGTCTTTCTGAAAAGAGATGGACAATATAAGAGAGTTGTTGTTTATGAATGGAACACAGTGGGAGAATTTGGGAAGCAGGGAGAAGTGCGGTGCCGGATCAGAGGCAAACCAATAGGGCGGGCAAATGACAGGAGAAAGGGTCTCATATTTTATATGTTGGGTAATAAAAACAGAAAACAAGTAAATTAGGCCCTGGCTCTGTCTTTGTGGAAGTTTGCCAGTGGCACTAACAGACGGAAGACTGGCTTACCCACTTGGAAGTGTCAGCCGAGCTGCTGTGGTTCCAGTGTATGGAGCTCCTGGGAGAGTCGGGGCCTAGGGGAGATATCACCGATGTTTGAAATAAGAGGAGCACTTTCCTAATTAAGTAAGAATTTATAGAACAAACTAAGAGCATCATAATAATACTTTTGAGGACATTATGGCAATTAAGTGGGGTAATATACATAAAGCATGTAGCACTGGCCTACCATAAAAGCAGTTTATAAATTTTAGTTGTATTATGATTGTGATTTTTCTTAGATGTTAAGTTTGTTAAATGCATTTATTTTTTTCTTTTGATCTTTATCTGCTTTCATGAAGTGAGGCATTAAGGATTGTGGGGTTTTCTCCCTCTAAATTCCTTATTTCTGGTGACTAAATCAATTTTTGTTGAATTATGGTGGGCACTTGAGTGATAATAACTTATCACCAGAGGCACTGTAAGACAGGGAGGAAAGGTAACTGCATAGAGAAACCAGTCTTGGATAGAGGAGCAAAGACACTGGTCTCGTCCCAGCTCTGCCTTTACCTGGCTGTACAGCCTGGCCGGGTTATTTGCTTAGCTTCCTTATTAGTGTAGACAGAAGTTTAACAGTTCACATGGAGCATTTGGGGTCAAATCTGGGCTTAAATCCGCGTATCGTCATGTAGTTATTTTCTGATCCAAAACTGGATAATACCAACCTCAAAGAATTGCTATAAAGATTAAATGAATTGTAAATAAACAATTTATTGACTAACACTGTGCCTGGCCTGCTACTTAAAGCAGGTATCCTAACCTCATTAACCCTTAATTTCTTATCTGCAAAATGGGGATTTGAAAATATCCTTCATGAGCTATAACCAGAGAATTCAGAGAAAAAGACATGCAAATGGCCTGTAAACATATGAAAAGATGTACAGCCTTGCTCATAAGAGAAATGTAAATTAAAAGTATATGAGATACCAGATGGTCAGAAATCCAAATGTTTGATAACTTTGGTGCATTGTGGGGGAATGGGTACCCTTATACCTGATGGTACAACCCCTGTAGAAAAAAATAGAATAGTATCTAGCAAAGTTACTTATTCACTTACTCTTTGACCTAACAGCCCCAACTCTAGGAATCTATCCCTGATGTGCAAAAATCTGCCAACTTTATTATAATAGCAAAATACTGTATTAACTCAAGTGCTCTTCAGTTGGGGCATAGTGAATAAAATATGGTGCATTCAGACAGAGGAGTGCCCTGTTTTCTTATCCAGAATTAGGATAACTTTATTGTATAGTAACAATAAAAATGATTGAGTAGTATTTCTACTGATCTCTAGTATATGTAAATATGTGTGTGTGAGTGTGTATGTGTTTAAACCAAGGAATAGGTCAGTATACAGTTGGTTACCTTTTATTTAAAAAAGGAAAAGTGTATATATGTTTGTATTTTAAAACATTATGGAATGACAACCCCAAACTAATAAATATGGTGTTGATGGGGGAATGAGGGAACAGAGTAGGACGAACAAGATTAAGATTGTAAATGAGATTTGTCTGAAGGTACCTTGCTTTGTAAATTAGACTTTGAAACTACATAAATGTTTTACATAATTATAAAGCAAAATTAGGAATGAAATCAGAACCAAAAAAGAGAGACATATCCTGAAAATTAAAAGCAAAATGAAACAAAGTTCTGCTAATATATTGAGTAGGTGGTTTAATCACATGGAAAGGAATTTTTAGAAATGCATCCTTTCTGGAATATATTCTAAAGATAAAAATATAAATTGTTTTCAGTGATTTTATTGTTAGTAATAATGCTGGTTTTCTTGCTTTGAAACTATATGTAATTTATATTTATTTTTACTAGGATTATGTAAATATCGTTAGAAACCAGATTTTTATTGAAAATAGATCAAAATAGATGAAAACAAGAATTTTAGAGAAAATAGGTAAATATGTAAAAAGAAGTAAGTAAAAACTCCACAATTCTGAGTTTGAATTGAAAATAGCAGTGTGATCTCCTGATGTAATTTATCTTAAAAAGACACAGATGCAGTGACTAACTTTTAGTACCAGGTTGGGTATTCCAAATACCATGGAAAAAAACCAGAGCTTCTTGGAGAAATGGCCAGTTACACCTAAAGAACAGGAACATCTTGTCAAAGAAATCAAGGAAAGTGTTCAGAGAATACTGAAGATAAGGCAACATGAATGGCTTCCCATTAACCAAAGATAGGACTGTTTGAAAAGCAAAATAGCTGCAATGGATTAAAACTCATCAAATATGTTAAAATCTATAAGTTTATAATGTGGAAAAGAAGCTCAGTTTCAGAAAGACCAATAAAAGTAGGAAACTGGTATCTAATTCAATTAAGGTAATATATAAAATGATGACAAGATTTAAGGTTCTATTCAAATACACTGTAGCAGTGTTTGAAAATATAAAATTATAAAATAAATGGTTAGGTTAAATTATTTCACAGGTGTTTTTCAGCTTTAATTTTTTTAAACTTAAAATTTTCATCTGTTTTTTCAGTACTTTTTTCTTATTCTTGTAAGTAGTACTAGACTTAGTTCTATTTGACTTTGTTATGTGTAATTTTTCTCTTAAAATTGGTTAATAATTTTACTAAAAAATTTTAGAATATAGAAAAAAGCCAAATGTTAATTTATAGAGCAGAAATCAGCATACCATTTCTGTAACAGGCCAGATAGGAACAATTTTTGGCTTTGCTGGCCATACTGTCTCTTCCCGAACCTACTCAGCTCGCTGCCCTTCCAGTGTGGAAGCACCAGAGACAGACTGTAAATGGACACATTTATCAGCTGTGTTCCAATAAAACTATTTGCAAAAACGGACAGCAGGCTATGATAAAGAGTATGAGGCTTTCTTGTTTTCTTTCTTATTTTTAACCTTTCATGTCTTTCTTTCTAGGTATAAGGGACCACTGTTAGAAGAGCAAGCCCTTACCAAGGCAGCTGAGGGTGGACTGTCTTCACCTGAGTTTTCAGAGCTCTGTGTTTGGTTAGGCTCTCAAATAAAATCACTGTGCAACTTGGAAGAAAGTATCACTTCAGCTGGTATTGCCATTATGTTTATCTACTTGTTTGTTTAATAGGAAAGTGAAATGATAGCTTATGATTTACCTACAATGTGTGCAATGTACAAAGAAAAATCATTAATATGAAGAACTTCAGTATGTTATATTAAATATCTTTGGATTAAATGTTAACTTAATCCAAAATTTGTTCTTAACTTTGCATAAGATTATAAACAATTACTGCTTATCTGCTGTCCCAACCTTAGTATTTTTTAGAAAAAGAGCCTGAATTTGGTTATTTAAAAAGTTTAACTTTTGAATACTGCTTGTTTTGAATTAAGGTTTTTTTTTTTGTTTTAAGTTATATTACCAAGCCTATGACCCAGGACATGTATTCACATAGGAATGCTTTTATAAAAAATTCCTGTACTACTTCATAAAGTTTAATTCATTACTATCTCGGTAACTGGAGTTGTTGTAGGTCTTTGGTAGAATTTCAGATAGTGTAATAAAATGAAAAATAAAAAGTATTGGTCATTTGCTAGGAGACAAAGTAGCCTTCTCTTTTGAAGCTGCCCTTTCAAATTGTTTTTCCCCATGCCAAATCTAATAGAATTCACTTGATACAAAATAAAATAAGCTAAATTCAAAACATACGACACAGGCTCCCATATAATTAGATTATAAAAGAAAGAAAAGCAGTGAGGCTTCATTAGATGATTGCATTTATTATCTGAATCCATAGACATGTCATAGAAATGGATCATTTGCTCTGAAGCCAGTTAATAATTATAGTTGTAATAATACTTTTAATATTTTAGTTACTAACACAAAATTATTCATTTTATCTACTTTTATGGGACATACTTTGGAAAATACTTATTGGATTTAAATGTAAAAATACTTATAATCTCATGATTACGTATTTGTATTCTTAAATTGATACTTATATTTCTGAGTTAAGTGTTTGAATATAGAAATTGTTTGGTTACCTTTATGTAAGCTCTGGGGTCACACATGTAAGGATTTAATGTCAAGAAAAAATTTAGAATTGAATGCAAAATTGAAGTGAACAAGTGGTAGATTTTATAATATCAGATTATATGATAAATATTCAGTAAATGTTTTATGATTTTTCTTTTTTAAAGGGAGAGATGATCTAGAAAGCTTCCAGCTTGAGATAAGTGGTTTTTTAAAAGAAATGGCATGTCCATATTCTGTACTCATATCAGGAGATGTTAAAGACCGTTTAAAAAAGAAGGATGACTGCTTGAAACTTCTTTGTAAGTTGCCTTTCTTTGAACATTTAAATGCATGTGTTTGGTGTGGTTTTTGTTACTTTTCAAGTCAAAATTTATGAAATTTCATTAAACGTTAGGTATCTTGTGTATATAAAAGGCTTTGATATTTGACTTAAAATTTGAAGCTGACTCAAATATTTATATAAATGTAGTATAAATTCTACTAATGTACTCTCCAAGATTTCTAACACTTAATGATTTATTTGGCCAATCTAGAATTTCCTGTGCTTGTGATTTATATAGTATTTTAGTAATTTTTCCTTCACCTAATTCATCTCTTAGCATTTATGACTAGATGGCTAAAGCTGGTGATCTCTAAACTCCTGTTTAATCTTAAAACTCTTTGAAACTAGGCTACTAAGCAGTTTATTAGATCTTGTTTTAGTAATAGGCACTGAGTGATAGTGAGTTCAAAAATACATTTTGATCACTTAAAATTGTACCAGAAACTACTCTAGGCATTAGGGATACCATTTAAAAAAAAAAAAATTGCATCCTTGGGCCACTGGAGTTCTAGTGAGTATGGCTTATTTTCATCAGGGGTTAATTTGGAGTAAAATTATCCTGTATCCAAACAATTACCATAAATAAAAATTCATTTATTTGTATTGGGTCCCTTCAAAAGTTTTTTTAGTTCAGTTAAATTTCATACTCTTTTGAAAGTTCTGCAAACAATGACCATATGAATGCATTTTCTAACATCTATTATTGAAGATTTCTGTTATTTTAGGTTGTACCATTTACAAAAAGATCCATGTGATACACTCCTTCTAGGCTCTAGTGTTAGTAATGTTTGTTGCACTAGAGCAGAAATAGTATGGATGTGTTTAACTAGTGATGATGATAGAAGTGTTGGCATTTAAATTGCATGGTATGTGTTTGGGGGGGTAGAATTACGTCTCCCCCTTCATTTCTTATACTCTTTCCTCATCTTCCTTCCATTCAGTGTGGGTCATTGATTTAATGAACCACTGTTATTAATGGGAGGTCGTAGTAACCCTTAGGCATATTGGGACAGAAAGGAAGCAAGCGGCATGGCCCACAGGAGCTTGCCCATCCTTTGTCAGTCGGTGAGAGCTATGTGATTCATCATTGTTCCCTGTTTGCCTTACTTGCTAAGAAGCTCAGCAGTAGTAGTAAGAAAGGTTTCTGGTACAAGTAAAAGTAAAGAGAAAATGTAAGAGAAGTTGGTATAGTTTTTTCTGATTATGAATATACATGCTCGGGAGGTGAAGATGGGGAGTTCATGGTAAATGGGTACAGAGTTTTAGCTGGGAAAGACGCAGAATTTCTGGAGGTGGATGGTGGTGATGATTGCACAACAGCGTGGACATACTTAATGCCAATGTACACTTAAAAATAGATGGTAAATTTTAGCCCTGACTGGTGTGGGTCAGTGGGTTGGGCATCGTCTTGCAAACTGAAAGGTCGCCAGTTCGATTCCCAGTCGGGGCATGTGCCTGGGTTGTGACCCAGGTCGCTGGTTGGGGGGTGGGGAGCGTTATGAGAGAGGCAACTGATTGATGTTTCTCTCACACATTGGTGTTTCTCTCCCTCTCTTTCTTGCTCCCTTCCCCTCTCTCTCTAAAAATAAATAAAGAAAATCTCAAAAAAAGAATAGTAAATTTTATGTTATCTTACATGTTAAGAATTGCATGTTTATTATAGAAATCTTACAAAATAGGTAAAATTATAAATAACAAAATCATTTATAATTTCATTCCCCAGAGAAAATCATGAATAACTTTCTGGTGTGTTTCTTGTTCCTTTTGTTTTTACTTTACACACACATATTTAAACATGACTGAAATCTTGTTACAGATTAAGTTCCTCTTCCTCTTTCTCTTCATTTAATATATTGTGAGCATGTCCCCATCACTTAATATTTAAAAAAGTTAAATTGGCTACCTAACATTCTATGTTATGTTTAATAAATTTCATATTTAAGGGTACTTCGTTGTTTTTTATTTTATATTAATTTCTTTGTTTATAATTTTGGATTACTTTTACTTAGACAAAGATTTGAACATTAAAAAAAAAAAAATCTTTGATATAGGTATATATTGCCCTTTTTTGCTCCGGAAAGGTTATACCAGATCTCGATTTTACCAGCATCTATTCCATCTTTATCTTTAGTTTGACTGTCTTGAAAACATGTTTAGAAGCTTCTTCATCTTCTTGGAAGTGTTTGCAACATGTATAAAATTAAAAGGGCGAAATTCCTTACTATGTGGAGAGCTTTTGTAAATCAAGAAGAAAAAGAAAAACTCACTGGAAAAATACATAAAGCATGTAAGACAAGAAAAAGGTCTTCTATAGAAAAAAAAATTTTAATTACTTTTAAATGTGAAAAGATGCACAGTATCCTTCAAAGTTAAAATGTTATAAAAAAATAAAATGATAGGATACTAATGTTTTTCCTTTACCAGGCTAGCAAATACATAAAAAAAATTTTTTTTTAAGTTCTTACAAAGTTTGGGGGAATAAGCATTTTCATATACTATAGGTATTAGTGTGTGGTGGGAGAGTAACTGGTATAACCTTTGAAAGGGCAAAATTATTAATATAACAATTGAAATTCACCTGCCTTTTGGTTTGGCAATATCATGGCTAGGAAAAGATATTTGTTTCCCCAAGTGTACAAAGATACATGAAAAGGATGTTCACTATGGTGGTGTTTGTAATAGTTAGCTAGGAATGATTCATCTTTGCAATGATACCGTTTTATAGCCATTAAAATGAAAACTGATCAACTATGTTGATATGGAATGATCACTGATATATTGGTAAATAGAAAATGAATATACAGAATATGTGTAGTGTGTCTTGTAGAAAAGTGCATAGATAGTAGATATGTATACTAAATATACATACAAATATGTGCCTAAAAAGATAGCCAGGAAACTAATAATGGTGATTGCCTCAGGGGAAGGGGAATCTGAGGATCTGTGGGAGTAAGAAGAGTTTTCACTGTACTGTTTACCACATGCATGGACTAGCATTTTATAGGCTAGACTGAACCCTTGTTTGTGCTATTACATAGAGCATGTTTCCATAGAACAAAGGTGGGCTTCAGCCAAGTTTCTATCCAGAATACAAATTATGAAGAACTGGTGATCTGTTTTAATGAAGTTTTGAAATTAGAGGGACCTTGGCATATTCCTCATAAGCCAACTTTAGTATTTACTGGTCTTAACTTTTTGTGGGCTTTTTAGACTGTCTGACACATATAGATTGCATGGAAAAGTCTTTAAATTAGTGAATGTCAATTCTGCCTGCCCGTGAAAATCACCTTGGGTATAAAATAAACCACACAGATGCCCTACTCCTACTTCACACCTGGTTCAGAATCTCTGAGGGTGAGACCCTGACACCTGTACTTCAAAGGTTTCTTAGATATTTCTTCTGCTCAGCTGAAGTTTAAATTACTGTATTAAATTGTGTGTGTGTGTGTGTGTGTGTGTAACTTCAAGCAAATAAAAACTGCTGTAGTGAAAGTTAATTTAAAATAAGACTATAACCATACAAGATTTTGAGTAATTTTCCTTAATAAGGCAGTTGAAAAGACTAAATGAAATGGTGACAGTAAAGGGGTGGTCTATCCTGAAGGCAAATAATTACTCTGATTATCTGCTTATAAATTAGTTAGAGCTGTATGTTTTCCCCTGGCTTGAGCACTCTGCATGTGGAAGAGAGAATACTTTATCAGAGCCTTACACGTTTTTATTTATTCTTAAATTATTAATTTACTGGTGTGTCTCTCCTACTGGACTTTAAACTCTGTGGGTAGGCACTGTTGTTTTTTTAAATTTCCTCCTGCCCTCTTTATTATTAGTAGTAGTATTTTATGATAACAGCATTAGATCTCTCCTCTTAGCAAACTTTTAAGTATCTAAAAATTACGGTACTGTATTGTTACCTGTAGGCACTGTGCTATAAAGTAGTAGATCACTAGGACTTCTTTTGTGTAACTGATCAGTATGTATCCAACTTGGCTTATGGGGACTATGCCAAGGTCCCTCTGATTGCAAAACTTCATTTAAACAGTTCACCAGTTCTTGAAAATTTATATTTGACTAATAACTCCCTGTTTCTCCCTCCTCCTTTGGCAACCACCATTTTACTTTCTGCGTTATAGGTTTGACTGTTTTAGATGACTGTTTTAGATGACTTGTTTGACTTTGATATTCTCATCAAAATGATATATAGTATTTGTGCTCCTGTGTCTGGCTTATTTCGCTTTGCACAGCGTCCTCCAGGTTCATCCGTGGTGTTGCAAATGGCTGGATTTCCTTTTTACAGGCTGAATAAGATTCCATTATATGTCTGTTCTACATTTTCTTTATCCACTTATCTGTCAAAGAAAACTTACCTATGTCTTGGTTATTGTGAACAGCATGACGAAGAACATGGTAGTGCAGGTCTCTTTGAGATCCTGACTGCAATTTCTTTGGATATATACTCCCAAAAGTGGGATTTTTAAGGAGTTTGTGTACATTTTAAAATTATTTGTTTTTCCCTTTTCTTACAGTATTTTTAAGTACAGAGCTTCAAGCTTTACAGATATTACAGAACAAGAAATGTAAAACTTCTCAATTAGATAAAAATAGTGAAATTTATCAGGAAGTTCAAGCTATCTGTGATACCCTTGGCGTTCCCAAGTCAACAACTTCTGACATTCCACTTCTGTTAAACCAAGTGGAGTCAAAGGTATTGTATTTATTTTTTTTTCCCCCAAAATTCAACTCAGTGCTGACATGTAAATGTTGTATTAAAAATTAAAATAATTCCTTTAAGTATAAGATATACATTCCATTTCAAGAAAAGTTTATCTTCATGAAAGCAACACTTTGGATTTGGAATGAATATGCATGTGACCTAGTCTGCCTATAGTTAATACTCAGGCCTTGTGAGAGTTACATAATAGAAATCATTTTGCAAATGTAAAGATTGCTTTCCTAAACAAGGTTGAAATACAGTTTAATGAAACAAGTAGAGTTATCCTATAAAGTCAAAGGCAAACTAAATTTTTTTAACAGATATTGTTAATTGAATTGGAATGTGTTGTCTTTGACACTGAACAAGCACAATTTCTGGTGGATAAGTGTTTAGTGTTTGTTGTAGAGTGAATGAATGAGTATCCTGATTGAGTAAAAACAACCACAAACTATGTGCTCAAGCTTTCTGAGTTTTTTCTGTTATTAAACTATCCTTTATCCTAGTGGAGCTGTATCTTAGAGAGACTGCTACTCACACAGACCAAATTCTGGCCTAATTCCTAGGTTATGTAGGAGCCCTGTAAGGGAATAATAACAGGGTTCATTTTAAAGGAAAAGAAAATTCTCACCCTCAAGAATAGGTACTTAAACTCTCTTTTTAGACACATTACTTTAAACTAAATTCTTGAGTACTGTTTTTTGCATTGCTAATTTATGAACTGAAAAATAAGAAAGATTTGTCTTCATGAGAGGATTTTAGTAGCATTAAGATGAAAACACAATATTAAAAAATTTTTTTTCAGGGCAGGGGCAATAGAACTTGCAAACCAAAGATTAAGTTGGTGAATCTCAGCTCAAAAACATTGTTCTGGAATTATATTACCCTTCAGAGTTTTCTTCTCTTTTCCCCTGGATTAAGAATGGTCTGGTGTTGGCTAAAATATCAGGGACTATTTCAGAATGAGAAGATTTCTGGGCTCTTTTTAATAATGCTTTTACATATTTAATCCAAAAAGGCTTTTTCTTTTGTGGGTTTCAGTTAGTATTAATAATATCCCCAAACCTCTCTTTTTCTGACTTAAAGCAGCCCATGTTCAAATGCTGGTGGGCTCATTGTAAGGGAGTTGTTACCATGGCCATTGTGACTAAATAGGTCCTAAAGGACTTCCTTCTCCATTTAGTTCCTATCAAAGCAAATATTTCCCTTTATTTTTTTCTTTTATGTGTGATGTATGCAGAAGAGACTTTGTCACCGTTGGGAGGAAAATTATTATTTGGTAACTTAAAGCCGTTTAAATGTGAATCTAAAGTAATGATAGTAGTACCGATAGCAGATACATAGCATTTACTGTCCTAACTGTTTATATGTAACATTCATTGAATTCTTAGATCACCTGTAATGGGGTAGGTATTTTGTTACTGTCTGTAACAGCTACAAGTGGCAACTGAGGTACTAAAGATTTTATAAATTAGACAAACTAGTAATGGTAGACCTGAGATCGGAACCTAAGCAGTCCTTCACAGTCCATACTCTTCACTCTCTGACTACATCACAAGTCACTCTCAGACTTACTGAAACTGTTATCTAATGTTGAAATCCTGGGAATGTGATTACATGTAAGAAACTGCAAATATGCATTTAGAATCCCTCTTGAGTGAGGAATTACAACTAAAATGTTTAGGAATATATGAAATAATCAAATTGGAGATATTTACAATAATTGTGGAATCTACAAAAAAGTATGTTTCAAGAAAATAAGTTAATTCTTTACAATATGTAAGAATTGTATCAGTAATTGAATTATTATTGCAGAGGTAGATTTGCTGTGATGCTAATAAAGCTTAAGCTTTGGGACCCCTCATTTACACTTCTTTTGAAGCTAAGTTTTTAAAAACAGCCTTCTCAAGATATAATTTACGTGTCATAAAATTCACCAGCTTGGCTCAGTGGGTTGGGCATCATCCTCCAAAACGAAAGGTTGCCAGTTTGATCCTGGTCAGGGCACATGCCTGGGTCCTGGGCCAGGTCCCCAGCTGGGGCCCCTGCAAGGGGCAACCAATTAATGTTTCTGTCGCACGTCAGTGTTTCTCTTCCTCCCTTCCCCTCTCTGAAAATAAATAAAACCGTTTTAAAAATTCACCCATTTTAAGTATACAATTCAATGAATTTTAGTGTAGTTTTAGAGTACAACCATCATCAAAATCAAACTTCAGAGTATTTCTGTCACCCTCAGAAGAAACCTTGTGCCCGTTTATAGTCACTCCCCCTCACCACCACCAATCTGCAAGCTAATTTTATGTTGACAATTTTTAATTCTTTTTCTTAAAAAATAACTCCCAACATTAAATAAGCTTCATACCCCTGACAATCTGAACTGCTCCTGATTGGTTTCCCTACTTACCTGTAACTAAGAAACTGTAAATAGTTCATTTTGTTTTGAAACACTTTCTTTAGATCAGAAAGGATTCACCAGCTAGAAGGGTAAGTCCAACTTAGGCTGTCATTTCTTGGTCATTTTCTTCAGGATAAATGACTGTTATTGGAATGATCCTTGATATTGCTAAAGCAAAAGCAAATACATAATATCTTGTTCATGAAAATAAAAATGTTTTAAGTAATTTAAATCAGTGGCTTTGCAAAATAATGAAAATAATTTCACCATACATATTTTCATTATGTATATGGTGACTATAATTGAGAAGGTTCTCTCTCCTGTGTTGTTTTGCTGAACAATGAAGCCAGGATATTTACAATTGGAAAGTGTACATAGTACTTAATTGAGAAAAATCAATGTGTTCATCAGAGGTGTCAGTATCCTTAATGAGAATTTATCAGGATATAAGAGAGTGCCATCTTAAGAACAAACTCCAAAATTATTTTTAAAAAACCACACAATCTTCATAACAAAACCTTTTAGTGGCTACTTTAGTTGTCTATGTACATTATTTCTTATTCTAGAAAAAAGGTGTGCTGTAGCTTGAATTAATATAACTAATGCTCTTTGAAAAAAGATATTCCGCCCTGTAGTAATATTCTTTCCCAGTATATAAAGGTGTATTTTAATTATTTCACCCTAACATTTTATTTATTCTCTAGCATTAAACAATAACATTTTAAGCAAGAATAAGATTGTTTTAAATTAGTGATAGTACATTTTCACAATCTTTTATATTTGCTTTTAGGTGAAAGCTGTTCTCTCAAAAGTCCAGAAAAATCATGTGGGAAAACCACTGCTAAAAATCGATTTAAATCGGGAACAGGCGGTAAGTGTCCACCCCACCACTGCCTTTTATTAGTTTTATGTAATTCAGTTAGTGAATATGACTTAATTTTATAAATGGACATCTAGATTTTACAGTGTGTAGCATGCATTTATTATTTTGGAGAGTTAAAATGAATTGATGTTCTAGAGTAATAGGTCCAAACATTTTTTCAATCAGATTATTAATTGCAAAAATATCTGGCTGTTTTTATCGTGACCAATATATTAGCATGGTTGTGATTTGAAAAGGATAGTGATCAAAGCCAGCAAGATGGGAAGTTATTGGTATTTTCTTTCCATATTGATCCCTACTACTTAGTAAAAGGTGCAAGATTTATATGATCTGAAGAGAAACCAGAGTATGGTCCCTACTACTTAGCATGAAGTTGTTTTACTTAATATATTTGATTGAAGATGAGGTAAATTTACCAGTTGTGAAGTTTCGTTGTTTAATATCTTCTGAATATCATAAATGTTCTATCAAATACTCTTTATTATTTAAATAATTTACTATAAAGTCTCATAGCATCAGAAAATGGTCATCAAGTACGATATCTTTTGAATCAGTAGGAAGGATTTACCATAATTTTCAAATTTCTTTTTTGTGCATAATAAAAGAGCCTAAAATTTTTGATACTTGTTTCCAAATTCTTTAGGAACAACTGGAAAGAATCAATGATGCTCTTTCCTGTGAATATGAGTGCCGCCGGCGGATGCTGATGAAACGACTGGATGTAACAGTGCAGTCTTTTGGATGGTCTGATAGAGCAAAGGTGAGGCTGTTTTCCCATTTGTGTCCTGTAGGTGGTACTCTGTGACAGCTTTTCAGGCTCTCTTGTCTGTTATGTAACTGTGCCACACATTTGCACTTTATCACTCTATCTGAAGCACATGCCTAGGCCAACTACTGGCCTTCTGTAGTGTTCCTGGCCCTATGTATATCCCTGTTTGGAGGTATCTCAGTTTCTACCAAATCGTTCACATTTATTTTAAACTCATGGCTGTTGTGATTTATGCTAGGATTGCAAAGAAGAAGGTATCTTATGAGAAGTGAGAGAAATATAATGAGCATCTGGTCAAGAAAGCAGGATATAGGAGTAGATACAGGTAGTACGGATGTATGAACAAGTCTTCTTAAAAGTGTCTTAAGGCGGTGGAGTGTGATCCGTTTAAAAAGGGGGCTGGAGGCTGGGGTCATCCACAAATAGAATCTCTTCAGGTAGCTTTCTAGGGAGCTATCTCCTGTCACTCCCATTTTATGCCTTTAACCTGTGCCCAGGCTTTGCCGGGGATCCCCTGTCCTGCCTTGCAACATAGCCTGGAAACTCTCCAGACAATAAGCTGGGACAGCTGTAGGAAATCATTTGCTTCCTCTGTTTCAGGGAATATTGTCCTGTGCTCCATCATGTCCAGTGCCTGAAAAATCACCGTTTTACATGGGCTGTCCAGTTTTAAGGTTGTTTCAGGTGGCAGAATAATTCTGGTGCATCTTACTCTCTGATAGTATTATTACATTCTTTGTATTAACTGGGCAGTTCTTCTGCCCCATGTTGTATCAGCTGGGGTCATTTATGCAGCTTCATCCAGCTGGTGCCTGGGCTGGGCTAGAATATCCAAGCTGCTTGTCTCACATATGTGGGCTCTGCTTCTGTTGTCTTCTTGGCTCTGGTGTGGTCCCCCCATGTGGTGCTTTGTATGGGTTTCCTATGGCTGCAGAAACAAATTACCACAAACTTAGTGGCTTATATAATATACATTTATTCACTTACAGTTCCAGGGATCAGATGTCCCAAAATGAAAATATTGGCAGGGTTGCATTCCTTCTGGAGGCCTCAGAGGAGAACCTGTTTCCTCATTGTTTCCTAGCTTCCGGATGACAACTGTGTACCTTGGCTCTTTACCTCATCCTCTATCTTCAAAACCAGTAGTGTAGGATCTTCTGAACTTTCTTTCTCTGCTTTCATTGTCACTTTGCCTACTCCTGTTTTGGATACTCCTACTCTCTCTCTTTTTTTCATCCTCACCCAAAGACACGCTTACTGATTTTAGAGAGATGGGAAGTGGGGTGGGGGGAGAGAGAAGCATTGATTGGTTAACTCTCGAATGCACCCCGGCCAGGGATCAAACCCAGGCTGGGCCTGTCTTTCCTATAAAGATCCTTGTGATTACACTGGCCCACCCAGATAACCCAGGATAATCTTCCCATTTCAAGATCCTTAACTTGATCACACATTCACAGGTTCCAGGGGTTAGACTGTAGACATCTTTGCGGGGTCATTATTTAATTTACCAGGTGTCCCATCTTCCTCCTAATTATTTTATTTTTTCTTGTATTATATTTCACTACCATATGCTGCTGCTTTTTTTGTTTTCTTTTTTTAAAATATGTTTTTTAAAAATCAGGTTGCCTAACCAATGTTAGAGTTCTCCATTTTCTGTATGCCTCCCCCCCAAAGCTTCTGTCCTGCTATTGCAACCCTGCTGCTTACACGTCTCTTCTTGGCTACACCACTATTTCTGGATCCAGTGACCCCCTCTTTCATTGTTTATTCTCTCATTCTGTAAATCCACAAAAACTCCTAACAAAGGGTATATTTGAGTGATTTTTCTGAATCCTTGAATTCTGAATATACATATATCTGTTGTCATATTTGGTTGATAGTTTGGGTAAATATAAAATTCTAGGTCGAAAACATTTTTTCTATAAGACTATTGAAGGTGGTTTTTTTTTAGCATTTAGTGCTGCTTTTGAGAAACCTGATTCCACTTCCTGTGTTTTTGGATGACCTTTTATTTTTCCTCTGGGAGCTTTTGGATTCTCTTCTTTATCCTTAAGAGTTCTGAAAGTTCACATTAGATGTCAGTTTGAGACTTTGTTCATTCACTAGGTGGATCTTTAAATCTGTAGACCTTAGCTTTTGTTTTTCTTTATCAATTTCCTGCCTTTTGTTTTCTGCGTTTTCTCTTTCTGAAACTCTTGTTAGTCAGATATTGGACATCCATGGTAGATCCACTTAAATTGCTTTGTTTACTCGCTCATATTCTTTCTCTTTCCCACTTAGATTAATTTTCTCAGAAATGTCCTTGGTGTTGAATTTTTGTTTCTGCTCTCATTTTTTAATTTCCATAAATTCTTTTTGATTCTTGAGTTTTTCTTTTTTATATTTTTTCTTATTTTATGGATATACTATCTTTTTTTAAGTTTTTATTTTTATTTTAGCAAGGAAGAGAGAGCCTGACAGACAGACAGACATCGATTTGTTGTTCCACTTGTTTATGCATTCATTTGGTTGCTTCGTGTATGTGCCCTGACCAGGGATTGAACCCGCAACCTTGGTGTGTGGGCATGATGCTCTAATCAACTGAGCTTCCCAGCCAGGGGGATATGCTGTCCTCTTGAATGAGGATAAAAAATGTCAAACCCTTCCCCCAACAACAACAACAACAACAACAACAAAACCTCCCTTTTTTTTGCCTTCAGTTATTTTCGTTCTCTACATTTAATTTTTTGTTTGTTTTTCTCTCTTGTGGTGTTTTCCTTCAAATGCAGGATGGTTACTCGTTGTTCATTTTAAAGAGCAAGACAGTGAAAAACTGATGGTAAACTCCAGTCATTGATTGGATTAGAATTGTTGACATGAGGCTTTGGAGTTGGCTGTTGTGCTGTGGGAATTCCTAATGCTGACTTGCAGAAGTCTTTTCTCAGTAGCTGTTCAGTTTTTTTAATAAGGGAAACCTCATTTTTTTTTTTTTTTTAATACAGTTCTTTTTCTTTGGCCAGGGGAGCAGGAATGGAGGGCGGCACCAGGGGCTGGAGGAGTATACTGTTCTACAAATAAACTGAGTTAACTCCTATTTTTGGCTCCAGATTTCATTTTCTGAGATGTTGGTTCCTTTCTTATCTGTATCCCTCTTTTCCATCCTCTTTGTAGTATATGTATACCTTGTTATAATTTAATATGGCCAATCTGACTCATTTACCTAGAAAAACTCCTTCATGTATTTGTACATAGAGTCTCCTTCCAAACACCTGACAGATACAGAAAATTGAAGAATGATTAGAACAGAGTTGCTGGTAAAATGAACACTATTATTATTTCAGGGAACTTTTTTTTAGTATATTAATAGAGTAGTTACAAGTCAAAGTTGAAGACTGTCATTTATGTATTTTCTTTTAATAAACACTTGTTCCATCATCTCATGTGTCAAGCAGTATGATGTCCCCGGTTCTGGATGAGCATTTCCGTACCCTGTATGGTTAGGTGAGGAATATTCTTAGCAGATTTCTGTATTTGTAATACCTAATCAGATGGTCACATGCTTAAATCCTGTTTCTCTTCTGCATGTATACCAGGATAAACCCCAGAGATGGGAGAGTGTGTGTCCATGTCATTGAAGTGACTGTTGTATGCAAGCCCAGTTGCTCTAAGAGCTGTAAGTTACCAAAGAAGGAGGAGACATGATTGCTGACCATCGAGTTGCGATGTATGGGAGGGACTCATCATGCTGACCTCTGAAAACTTAATAGAGGTTGTGTACATGTTGGGTCTTCAGTTTAACCTGATGGAATTTTAGTGAGAAAAAGAAATCTAGGTATACAAGGACAGCAGTGAAAGGCAGTACATTAAAAGTATCTTAACATAGGAGCTGAGAGGATGTTGTCAGTGTTTACCTTAAGTTTACAGAGGAATCCCAAACAAAAGAGTTTTGACATGTTCCTTTCTTTGAACCTTCCTAGTGGCATGGAATTATGGGCATGTTGATTCTTTACTGGCCTTAGACTTGGGGACTTTGAGGAAATAGGCCTGTAGGAAATATCTTGGTAGTTTATCTTCTCATGGTCTTTTTCTTTTTTATCATGTTTTAGAACAGGAGGGTTTTTGTTGTTGTTTTTTTCTCCTTAGTGTGAAAAAAATTTTTAATTTTTTTTCTTTAAGCTATTTACAGGTCAATTTAGGCCTTTCATTTGATCCTTTTCACTTGATTATATCAGCGTATACATTTATACCCTGAGTTTTCTTGTTAAATATCCTGTAAATTTAATCTTTCTTTATCACTATCCCCCTATACAGTATGTCTGATATTATTGAATGACTCATCAAATATTGTTCTACAGCATTTTAAAACTTTACAGAAAATTTTATCACATAAAAATATATTCTATTGATTGACATTGAGAGCCTCTCTTGTTTTTCCTTGATGAGTCTGGTTAAACGTTTGTCAATCTTGTTTATCTTTTCAAAGAACCATCTATTGGATTCATTGATCTTTTTTATCATTTTTTTAAGACTCTTTTGTTTGTTTCTGCTCTGATCTTTATTATTTCCTTCCTTCTACTCACTGTGGGGGTTTTTTGTTTTTGTTTTTCTTTTTCAAGTTCCTTTAAGTATAAAGTTAGATTATTTGAGCTTTTTCTTGTTTCTTCAGCTAGGGCTATAGTGCTATAAATTTCCCTCTTTGGATTGCTTTCCCAGTGCCCCACTGATTTTGGATTGTTGTGTTCTCATTTTCATTTGTTTCATGCTGTCTTTTGTTTTCTTCCTTTTTCTTGTTGTTGACCCATTCATTGTTTAATAACGTTATTTAGCTTTCATGTCTTTGCTGTTTTTCAGTGTTCTTCTTGCGATTGATTTCTAGTTTCATAGCATTATGGTCAGAAAGATGCTTTATATGATTTCAATCTCCTCTAATTTATTGAGACTTGTTCTGCATCCTAACATGTGTCCTATCCTAGAAAACATTCCATGTGCACTTGAAAAATACAGATATTCTGCTGCTTTGGGGTGAAATGCTCTGAAGATATCAATTAAATTCATTTGATCTGGTGTGTCATTTAAGGCCACAGTCTCCTTGTTGATTTTCTATCTGGGAGCTCTATCTATTGAAGTCAATGGGATGTTAAAATCCCTAACTATGACTGTATTTCTCTTGGTCTCTCCCTTTATGTCCATGAAGATTTACATATTTAGGTGTTCTTATGCTTGGTGTGTAGATGTTTACTAGGATTATATCCTGTTGTTGGTTTGTTCCATTTATCATTCTGTAGTATCCTTTGTCTTTTACTGTAGCCTTGGTTTTAAAGTATATTTTGTCAGATATAAGTACTGCTACCCCAGCTTTTTTTCCTTTTCCATATGCATGAAATATCTTTTCCACCACTTTACTTTTAGTCTGTGTGCATCTTTCAATCTGAGATGGATCTCTTGGAGGTAGCATATATATGGGTCTTGTTTTCTTATCCCTTTAGCTACCCTCTGTCTTTTGATGGGAGCATTTAAGCCATTTACATATAAGGTAATTATTGATAGATACATACTGTAGTGCTATTTTATTGTTAGACTGTTTTCCTCTGGTTTTTTTCTTTTTCTTTTTCTTCTTCTTCAGGCAGGCACTTTAGTTTGGTGTTAACAAATTGCTTTAGCTGTTTCTTGTCTGGGAAACTCCTCCTTCAATTTTAAATGATAGCTTTGCTGAGTAAAATAGCCTTGGTTGTAGGTCCTTGCTTTTCATCACCGTATTTCATGGCACTCCCTTCTAGCCTGAAATATTTCTGTTGAGAAATCGGTTGACAGTCTAATTGGTGCTCCCTTGTTAGTAACTACCTGCTTTTCTCTTGCAGCTTTTAGGATTCTCTCCCTGTGTTTAAGCCTTGTCATTTTAATTATGATGTGTCTTGTTGTAGGCCTCTTTGGGTCCACTTTGTTTGGGACTCTCTGAGCTTCCTAGACTTGTGTGACTTTTTCCTTCACCAGATTAGGGAAGTTTTCAGTCATTATTTCTTCAAATAAGTTCTCAATCCCTTGTTTGCTCTCTTCTCCTTTAGGTATACCTATGATGTGAATGTTGTTATGCTTCATGTTGTCTAAAATGTTAAAGTCTCCCCATTTTTTTTAATTCTTTTTCCCTTTTGCTGCTCTGCCTGGGTATTTTTTTCTTTCTTGTATTCCAAAGCACTGATTCGGTCCTCTGCTTCATCTAACACACTGTTTATACCTTCCAATGAATTATGTATTTCAGATATTGCATTCTTTATTTCTGACTAGTTCTTTTTTATGGTTTTTATGTCTTTTTTCATGCTGGTGAGTATCCTTATAATCATTACTCTAAGCTCTATCTGATAAATTGCTTGTCTCCATTTCATCTAGTGCTTCTGGAGAATTTACTTGTTCTTTCATTTGGGGTCTGTTTCTTTGTCTTCCCATTTTGACTCCTCTTTGTAGTTTTGGCCTTAGCTGTTAAACTAATCAGACACCAAGCCAATCAGTCATTAATCTAATCAAGCTGTAACCAGCAGCTGGTCTTAAGGATGCAGGTGAGCAGAGTAATTTTGTGGGAGAGGGTGTTGCTTCCCCTGAGGTGGATGGCACTTGGAGGGGGGTGCTCTGAGAGAGATGGCTCCTCCAGTATGGGGAATGATTCAGCACAGGGATCCTAGTGGTTGTTCCTTTAGTTCTCTCCCCAGAGCATTCAACCCCAGACTCTCCTCAAGTGTCTCTAGTGCTCTCTGCCCTCCCTTTGCTGGAGCCCAGGGTAAGTGGCTACAAATGAAATTTTATGCATTGGCCCTTTAAGAGGCTCTCTGCCTTAAAAGGGTTTCCAGTGGTTTCTCCCTGGCAGACAGAGACCCTGCTGCTTTTCACAGCTGGATGTTACCTGGGTTCCTTTCTGGCTCTGGTGCTTTAGGCCGGGGAGCCCACCTTGGGGTTTAGACCCCACACTTCTCAGGGGGATCCCCGTGGCTGCTGAAATATCCCTCTGGCACCTCAGCTGCTGCCAGTGCGAGCCCGGCCAGCACTCTTGCTTCTCTCCCTCAGTATCTACCAGTCACATAGTGGTGAAGTGTTTTCTTCTGTCTGTGGTTATAAGGCTTTTCTCCAGCTAGTGTTCAGTTGGTTATTCTTGATGATTTCTCTACAATTTAGTTGTAATTCCAGATTGGTCCTGGGAGGAGGTTAGTGTAGCTTCCACTTACTCCTCCACCATCTTGGATTCTCACTTTAAAAATCTATGTTAGGTTTTAATGAGTTGATACTGGTAGTTGTATATTCTTTAACATCTGTTGGTTTACTTTTTTCATTCTGTATACAAAGTGTTAGATATTTATGATTGCCATTGCTCTTTTATTGAAATGTTCTTTGCTTCCTTTTCCCCCTAACTTTTGTCATGTAGGTGAAAACAGATGACATAGCAAGAATTTATCAGCCTAAGCGTTATGCTTTGTCACCCAAGACAACGATTACTTTGGCACATTTACTCGCTGCTCGTGAAGATCTATCCAAGATCATTAGGACAAGTAGTGGTTCCAGCCGGGAGAAGACAGCATGTGCCATTAATAAGGTTGGTTTTCCTTTCAGTACAGTGGAGAATGAATCTTTAATATCCTCATTTGATGTTTTGACAGGTTTTAATCCATTTTTCTTTTATGTTCTGGTGAACTAGAAGAGAGAGTGGTAGAAGGGCTTCAGTTCATCTAGGCTTAGTTTTGTGTGTGCATGTTCATTTGAATTTCTGTATTTGTAAATTAAACCAAAGTTTTATCTGAATTAGAGGAATTAATAATTGTTTTTATTAATAGCTTTAAGAAGAGTTATTTATCTTTCCAAGAAAGTAATCATTCTTTGTCATTGAAAATCTTTAGAAATTGTTTCAGGTACTGACAGATGCCTATATCCTTGTTATAGAGGGAAGAGTACATGTTTTGGAGTCATACAAATCTGGGTACACATCCTAGCTCTGTCATTTATGTAAAAGAATCACCATGGGCAAGTTACTGAATCTCACAGAGGTTTCCTGATTCAGAGTATAGATCCATTTATCTAGAAGTAATCTTAAGCTCAGAGTCTGAATTTTTTACTTTAACAGCAACAACAACAATAAACTAATCTGGAATGTTTGTTAGCGCAACTAGAATGTACTCTTCATTTAGACAAAACACTCTGTGACAGACTTAATTACAAAGAAGTGAAAAAATCAGAAGTAAGCAATTTAGGTAATTTTAAAACATCATTTTTCACTCAGTGTAGTGAGAAAGGTATTCTTGATGTAGGATACCTTTGCCAGAGGGATGGTTGTTTAAAAAGTCAGTTTGCCTAATTATTGCTTAGTTAGGCACAAGTGTTCATGCCTCCTACTTCTATTTTAGATCAACCTCTTCTTTAAATACAGCGCTGGGGCAAAAAGTAGGTTCACAGTTGTGAATACACAAAACACAGTTTATTCTTGTATTATTTATTGTATTATTTTCTATATGAACAACTGTAAACCTATTTTTGCCCCACCCTGTATGTTACTTAATATCTTGCATCATATTATTTACTCTTGCTACATCAAGAGTTCTGCTTCTTTAAGTGAAATTGCCCATCCCTTTTCTGAATTTATAATTTATAGTCTAATTATTTGAGGACAATTTTTTTTTGCATTTAAGAGAATGATTTATTGTTATAATAAACCAGAAACTGAAACTGAAACGGTTGACAGAATATGGCTGAACTTATACCTTCAAGGGAAATAAGAGGGTCGAACAAAGCCAGTGTATGTAGAAGCCCATGACTGGTTTGGGATAAACAAAAGAATGACAGCATTCAGCATGGGTATCTTCTGACCCCTCACCAGCAGGTGTCTCCCATCCCTTTCCTTCCCAATGGCTTTTCCTTCTCTGTTGCAGATATAAACCAACCCAAATGTACCCCTTTGGACATAATGCAAAGCTAAGAGAAAGTTTATAAATCTTATTCCAGGGTAGAAAGTGTGCACATATCCAACCCAGCACATATTGTGTGGTATCAAGGCACATGGTAGCAACTTTAATCAAATCTGTGATGCTATCATATGCGTTACCTGTTATGTGGCCCTGTAGCTACGTCAGTCTTCCTAATTTATTATACTAAAATAGCAACATGGCAGAATGCAATTTTAAACTCCAGATTTTCTAAATACTTCTCAGAGGCTAATAAAGTGATATAGAACAGAACTGTATCTCAGAAACCTAAGCATTGGGGAGAAACGTTGATGGGTTCTTTCTGAGACTTTTGGGGGCCACACAGATGAACAGAGGAATTGTTAGAACATCCGTTTGAGGGCAGTCTTATGGTCAGTTCTTGGAGCAGCGTCCCTGTATACCCACCAACATAGCATGTCTGGTGGAGAGATCAATGAGAGTAACAACCAAGAAAAGCTATTTTTGGATTTGGTAATTAGGACATTATTGCTGACTTTCAAAGAATGTTTACATACTTTGAAACTTGCCCCAAAGTTGAGAGTATTGTACTTTTTGTCTCTTATTTATGACCTGTAAATTACTAAAACAGTTTTGGTGAGGATCGATGGAAGTAGATCCTAACTGATTCATAGGTCAGTTTGGTTGAGGAAGTTACTGCTTTACCTTCTTTCCTGAAAGAGACTAGCAGGAAACTCTTGGCCTGTGGTGGGTGGGAGGGCACCCTCTTCACTGCTGTCTTTCTTTGTTCATGGCGTATAGAGTAGAGCCTTCCGGCAGAAGTCTGGGATCTTAAAACAGGTTCTTGGTTTATCCTTCAAAGTATTGTAATGCATGGTTAAGGAAGGATATCAAGTCTTTATTTTCCCTAAAATACACTAACTAGACCATCATCGAACTTGACCATCAGTTTCTCACAAGGAAGGAATACTTCATTGAGAATCCTAGTATCTCTTTGTGGTGCTACTTTGGATTATAATCATATTCATCTCTGACCTCATGATATCCATATGTTACCACAAATACTTCATACTTTGTTGAAATAAAACGTGCTTAGAAATATAATCTGTCATTGGATAGTCTATTATCAAATCAGTGGCAATGGAAAGTCCAGAGTTGCACAAATAAAAAACTTTCTTAGTGTGCTGAGTACTACATTGGTTGCAAAATTTACTAAACAAATTTAAACAAGAGAAAATGACAAGGCTTTAAGTTTCAGAAATATTTCTCTAGATTGTTTAAAAATAATGCCACATTGTGAGGAATTTGTCATATAACACATTTATATTTTCATTATTAATTCATACTGCCCTGTCAGATATTTTCATGTCCTTAAGTATTTGACTTCTTTATTACAACCATAATTTCAATATTACTTGACTCCTTTAAGTAAATTTTAAATTTTAAAATACTAGAAACTGAAAGAAAATGTTTCTTCAAACAGGTGCTGATGGGAAGGGTGCCTGACAGGGGAGGACGGCCGAATGAAATCGAACCACCACCTCCTGAAATGCCCCCTTGGCAAAAGAGACAAGAAGGCGGCGGCAGGGGTGGTTGGGGTGGTGGAGGTGGTGGTAGAGGAGGTGGCGGGGGTGGAAGAGGGGGCGGAGGGTGGGGAGGGGGTGGGGGAGGGGGTGGAGGGTGGGGAGGGGGTGGGGGAGGGGGCGGCAGAGGAGGAGGTTTCCAAGGCAGGGGAGATTATGGTGGAAGAGGGGGCTACGGTGGGAGAGGGGGCTACGGCGGGAGAGGTTATGGAGATCCGTATGGAGGAGGTGGTGGTGGATATAGAAGATATTAATAACTACAAAAATAGATAGCAGTGCTTACTTGTTGATAGATACATTAGGTATAGTGTTTTAAATAACATACTTGAATGTCACCTTTGAAGTAAACACCATGTTAAATTCCTCGATAACATTCTCGAATTGGGTTATTATGTAAGAGTATTGTTTTATACTACCATTTCATCTCTTGGACAGAATGATGATTTTTTTTCCATCATTTTGTGTACTCTTGAGCATGTTAATGTCTTTTTAAAAAAACAAAATCAAAAAATGAGCAAAAACTATTTTTAAAAATGTAAATATTTATTACCATCAGACTTGGGAAATGGAAAGTATTTTATTGTCATGATTGAATTGAGATTGTTACCTGTATTTTATTCAGGTCTGAGACACATAAATGAGCCCACTTGTTATTAGACTGTTGCCTCATCTGTATTCCTGTGTTTTGTATTTGTTAATTTTACTTTACAAAATAGGGAAAGGGACTAATAGTTTTGTTCAATAGGTAGTTGTCACGACTTGTTTTTTTCTTTTATTGGAAATGATTCCTCTGCCCAGGTTTCTGTTAAAGTTCCATTAACTGAAGACTGAGTCTACTTTTTGGTATGCATATTTGATTTATTCTCCAACTACATTTGAAATTTGTGATTTTGTTTGGCAAAGCAAAGTTAGATTGAGTTTAGAATTACTCGAAAGGGACAGAGACATAAACTAGTTTTACATGATGGTGTAAAAAATATTCCTATAAATTGTTTCTTCATCCTCTGGGCCATTAGTTTACATATCAGAGTATTAAAAAGCAGGATGAACTGTATTATGTAGGATTAGAGCACTGATTTCCAGTTTTAATAGATCATAAGTAGGACCAAGGCATCCCTTGACAATTCCGACTGACAGCTAGATTTGAAAAACACAGGGTTAGTGAAGGCTTATATGTGGTTCGGTCGTTGAAGCAGTCAAAGGCTTGGTGAACAGGAGCTGTGAATTTGAATCATGGCACTAGTGCTGGGGTGCTATGGGCTAAGATGATCAAAAGGTCTCAAGGGTTGATATTTCCTCACTTGTAATGCATGAGTCCTACTCAGGTTGTTTCATAAACACTTGAGTATTTTTTGAGAAATTTGTTGAGAATTTATAGCGGGCCTATTGTGAATGGTTTAAGAGGTGGGCCAAGTAATGCATTTTTCTCTTAGTGAGAAGAGAGAGAAAAAGAGATAGCCACGCAAATTTTTTTTAATTCCCACTGTAAAGTCTGTGTCCCAGTGTAGGCTTCTGGTCAACACTTGTGCGCAACAACTTTCTGTGCTCTAACCAACTCAGTAGGTAGAAAGCTGACTACCAGTGGACGATGGTATTTGATATTTGGCAGTTTTGTTGTTTTGTTTTGTTTTATAGAAAACCCTGTGGTGAAATCTAAAATAATGCTAAAACTTTAACAGTAAATATTGTGTGTACTTCAGTCTTGGCCATGTGTTTTTCAAGATAACCCTTCAAAGAAATTTGCTCAGGATAAGAAGACAATTTTTTTTTTGTTATTTTTAAACTTATTTTTTAATGTGTTTATAGTTAATGAAGAGACTTAATTTTATTTGTGATTGGCAGAGAATGTTTTCCATAATTAAGAAAACACTTTTATCAGTATCTGTGAACTCTGAAAAAGAATTTTTAAAAATATGTAAGCAGAGACCAGTGGAGTAAAATATTTCAAGAGAGTTATTAGTTAAAACAGAAAACGTTCATTTAAAACTTTTACATTTCTGTTTCATTTCCTTTCGGGAGCTTTAGTTGCTGACACAGGAGGGCTTTACAACTTCTCCAATTTTTATCGATGGAGATTTATGAATAATGACAGAAACATTATCAATTTCTGTAAGATTTCTTTGTACCTTCATAGGGGTACTGTTGGATTATCCACAGGACTCATTGTAAATCTTATCCAAGTTTAGTATTTGCTGCTGGAATCATGTTGGAGCTGGAACCACACATATTTACACATTACTATAAACTTCACTTGATTAAAAAGCTGCGTAGTCTAGACTCAGATATCTTACCCTTTCTTCTAAGATTTGCATGAAAACCTTTGTTCAGTAAAACTTTCAGTTGTAGAAGTGTGCGCTAAGCAATAACTAAAATAGTAGTAAGATAATCTGGGGCCTTAATGTGAAAGGCCATGATGTGAAAATGTTTTATAAATTGAATGCAAAACATGTAGAGTATGATAAACAGTCCTTCTGCTCCCTAAGGTCCAGCACCTTTGTGCCTCATCTTCATTCCTTTTTGCCCAGTTCTCATCTTCATTTTTACCTATTACCTCATTTTCCCTCCTTTTTTTTTTTTTCTCTTTTTCTTGCCTTGTTATAGCCTCTGGGATCTAATGGCATCTCTAGATATATCTTGACTGGGAGTTTCTGGATTAAAGATGATAACTACTCTCACATCTGGACCATAAAAAGAACATAAGCCCACCCTGGCTGTTGGGGCCCAGTTGGTTGAAGCACCATCCCATAAACCGAAAGGTTGCGGGTTTGATTCCCTGTCAGAGTACATGCCTAGGTTGTGCGTTTGGTTCCTTCTGGGGTGTGTACAAGGGGCAACTGATTGATGTTTCTCACTTTGATTTTTCCTTCCGTCTCTCTCTCCCTCCCTCCCTTCCCCTCTCTTTAAAATCAACAAGCATGTCCTTGGATAAGGATTAAAAAACAAACATAAGTCCTGTCAACATATAACCTACCACACCATTACACGTCAGCTCTCAGCAAAAGAAGGGGTCGGGTGTTTTCTTTGAACCTATTTCTTTGTGTTTTGCAGATCAGGGAAATCTTGCCTCACTAAACAGAAAAAAAAATTTTTAAACCAAAAACATTGAATTGCCCATATTTGTGTTAAGTTTTGAAAATCCAGGAAAGATCTGTGACCAGAGAATGTTCTGAGCCATGATACTATTATCTTGTAAGAAGCACAGGATACACATAACTGGGATGGGAATCAGGGCTGGAGGAGAGGAGGTTTAATCTCTTCTTTAGGTTCAGGTTATCAGAGTGACTTCATTACTTTGTATGAAGTATCATGAATTGACAAAATGATATATACACCCACATCCAAGTGTATCAGAATGCATTCAATGCTGGAATTTGAGTGACTGGAATTTTCCTCTCTTCTTCATTGGTCGGTTAAACAGAAGTTGGCTGGGGAATAAAGGGAATCGTGGCACTCTCTAATTACTAAATAATCATGAGCACAAATGAATTGCTCTGGTTGGTCTGTACACTAAATTGAACCATCCTCTACCAATTTCACCCACAGCTTCAACGTTTCTTTCCTTACTTGTTTTCTTAGATAGAATTGTAGAATTAAAGTCCAAAGCCACAGAGAAATGACAACCTCAAATTTTTCTCCTTCAGTGTTAAGTATTTACAGACTTAATATTTGGGGATCACTGTAAGTCATTATACAGTAAGATGGAGAAGGTTGAATATTTCTGTACTGTTACTTCTTTGTGTTATAAAGAGATTTAGAAAAAATTATACTGAATAATTAGGTGCTTTGCTTTTCCTTCCAGGAGAATTGTTTGGTTAATAAAATAGGGGAATGGTCTATGCTGTGGATTATAGTAAAAATTCAGGTGAAGCTTCTACATATTCATGAACTAGAAGAAATACAAGACATCTATGTTGTAGGGATTCTAATGTCTTTTTATCATATAAATATTACACAAAGAAAACTTACATTAAGTATAAAAAAAACTTTACAATCTGTACATGTTTTTTCCTTGTAGTCCTTTTACATAATACATCTTTAGACAGAAATTCACAAATAGTAAAAAGGAAAGTGAATTACCAAAGTAAATGAGAAGTGACATTGCTATTAACAAGGCAAGATTTGTCATTGTTTTGGCAAATAAACATATGCCCAAACTTATTTCAAGTCGGTACAAGACACAAAATTTTGTATCCTAGGCTTAACCAAAAATCTATTCCAGATTATTTCTGTAGATTCACGCCAATAATATTAATTTACACATTGTACTTCTTGGCCCTCGGGGTTGTAAAAATCTGTGATGAAATTCTTGCTTCCTATCCATTTTACTGATGAGTTCTGCAGTGTTTGAGATCCTCTAGCCTTGTTAATGTGACTAAAGGGACTGTGACCTTTTGAGTTCCTATGAATTATAGATTATTTACATAGAAACTAACCTGGAATCTGTATTTGGGGTAGAGGGGATGAAAAAATTTGTTACATGACTATGTTTAAAGAAAATTGAGCTGTACTGTTTTTGGTCTTTATCAGAGGAATAATAGTGAAGAATATGAATTTTAAAGATTATCATAAACACATATTGTTCCATATAAGGTAAATAGCAAAGTGTTTATATAAATTTACATACCAAGTGGTGGGGTTTTTCAGTTTGGATTTAGGAAAGGGTTAGTTTGGGTGTCAAGTGATTCTTTAAAACACAACTGAAAGCTAATCACTAACTTTGTCACTAAAGCTCAATATAAGGAGATATGCAAATGGGAACGAGTTATTCCTCAAGGAAACTTCTTAAATGGTCTGAATTCTCCAAGGAAGCTACACTGTATATTATGTACTTTGTATTCTGATTAAGACTTGGTGTTGCTGGCTTTAGGTTTGGAACTTCTAATGAGACTATGTTCTTGGCATGTTGGTCAACTTGTTTATTAATTTCAAGTCAGTTTGGTACCAGATTTTCCAAGCATGGAAGGTAAGTCCCCTTTTGTCCCCACCCCCCAAAAAAGAAAAAATGATAGTATGAACTTTTTACAGAAAAAAAAAGCCTGACAAAGGAATTTATGAACAGTTGCCTGGACAACTAAATTAGCTCATCTATCATTTACCTTAATTAATAGATAACCCATGGCTAGGTCTCTTGTGATTTTGCCAAACAATACAGTTTATACTGTGAGCAAATTCTTCTCCTTGTAACAAGCTGAACTTTATACCTGTGATTTTGTGTAAATGACTAAAAGTTGTTTAATTCACTTCTACATTTTGAGGAAACAAAATTCCAAGTCACATGCATGCCTGATATTGTATATACATAATAAATATACATATGTACATTCTGTTAGCTGTTTTTGAAGGCTCTGATCCAATTAGCTTATTTCTAAGTAATATTAATAGTGAAGGCAGTATAAGCACATATTCAGCTCAAAAATAGTTACAATACTTCAAAAAAAAAAAAGGTAAAGATGGCACATAAAGAGCTAAATAGACTCTGTTTAAAAACAACAGCCATAAAGTCCTAATTCTGTCTACTCTAGATTATATGAGGACAAATATGTTTGTGTTATGTTTAGCTAATTAGCCAGTCATCTATGAGATATTGGCCATGTTTTCAGGTATTTAATTTGCTTACTGATTTTATTATGACTGTGAGACTAAAACTATGAGTTGATCTGCAACAGGATAATGTCATGTTGTTTAACAGGCCCCCCACAGTTTTTGCCTACTTCTCTAGAAGTTCAGTTCCAGGTAGATGTCCTCAGGTGTAAGAGCGTAGTAAGGAAGGAGCAGGGAAAGGCTAACTAATTAGATTTGAGGTAGTGAATTGGGAACCAGATTCATAAAGAATGCTGGAAATGGAGAGGAAGTGAATCTCCTAAGCAAGCTTTGGATGGAACAGAGTAAATCCCTCAGTTCACAGAAAACTCTAGGCAAATTTACTGTCCAAGGATTTTAGTTCTAAGGAAGAAGCAGCCAGGGAGGCCACATAGAAGATAGATAGCTTGTCAAAAAACTAGAGAGATGTTTTTGTCACACATTTTCTGTTAGTCTCAGGGAAAAAAGTTTGTGGTATGAATGGCAAAAATACTGCATTCTTCAGTTTTCTTCCCCTTTGAACTGAGTGGAAGAAAAAACAATACCACATATTGGGGAAAAAAGAACAGGTTTTCTTTTTAAAGTACCCCTTTTAAAGCTGGTCACTGCGGTTCCCTGGTGTGTCTGTCTGTTAATCGGTTGTGAGATGAGGTCTCTTGACACACTCTTCCACAGATTGTGCTCCTTGACTTTCAGGGCTAAGAACAGTCACCTTGTTCCATCTGAGCGAAAACATGATTGCTTTTTGCAAGTTGGAGGCTTTCTATTTTCTTCTGTGCATATTTCAGTTGGTTCTTTAGAGCATCATTGTCTGCTTTCAGTGTATTTATTTCCTACAGGGAAAATAAAATGAAGTGTGTTAATAAAGCAGCAATGAATAGCAAATCAGTTACAATATCAGGAGTATTACACATGATTGGTGTAATCTGTTCATTGTGGCTGAGCATTAAAAACTATTTTCATGACAGTTATTTTACCCTGAATAGAAAATAACAAGTTAAATATCAAATGAGCATGTGCAAACAACAATTAGTTTTTGTTAATCATATCAAATAGGAGTGGCTCACTGGCAGAATACACCATTCCCGAGCAATAGGTGGATGGAGACAAAACCTTGGAGATTGTGGAGCAGGAGACCTAAACTTGGCAGACCTAAACCTTTGTCAGGTTTAAGGTATGAAAGCAGTGACTCAGAATACTGTAATATGAGATAGCATAGTTCATTTATAAGTGCTTTTACCACAAACCATTGAAAACAAATAGACTCTTTTGGTAAAAGTAGGAATTTTATCCCATCTTCTAAACTGGAGTCTAGTTATCTAATTTTCAGTGATTTTAATTATAGGGACAGCAGGTGGTTTCCAATTTTGACTTTTTTAAAAAATTGAAATATATTTGACACGTAACATTATGTAAATTTTAAGGTGTACAACATTTTAATTCGATAGTTGTATGATTTGCCATTGTAGCTATAATTAATACCTCTATCATGTTACATAATTATCCTTTTTAGTAGTTGGAATAATTCTAGTCTTAGCAAGTTTGATGATTTTAATACAACATTGTTATCTATAATCTCTGTACTGTGCATTGTATCTCCAAGGCTTATTTACCACTTCTGAATTTGTAGCCTTAATACCTATCCTGTTCTCCACTACTGCCCCCATTGCCTGGTAACCATAATTTTTTTCTCTGATTTTACAAGTTTGGTTTTTTAAAATTCTATATATAAGTGATACAGTAAGTATTTGTTGTTCTCTGACTTATCTCCCTTAGCATAATGTGCTCAAGGTCCATCCATGTTGTTACAAATAGGAAGATTTCATTCTTTTTTATAGCTGAATAATAGTCCATTATATATGTGTACTACATTTTCTTTATCCATTCATCCATCAGTAGACACTTAGGTTGTTGCATATCTTGGCTATTGTAGATAATGCTGCAGTGAACATGGTGGTGTATTATATTTTTGAGTTAGTGTCTTTGTTTTCTTCAGGTCAATACCCAGAAGTGGAATTGCTGGATCATATGATAGTTCTATTTTTCTTCCCTTTTTTCTACATCTTCATCAGCACTTACAACTTGTCTTCTTGATGACAGCCATTCTAACAGGTGTGAGGTGATATTTCATTGTGGTTTTCATTTGCATTTTCCTGATGATGGTGCTAATGAGCACATTTTCATGTACCTGTTGGGCATCTGTATGTCTTCTCTGGAAAAATGTCTGTTTAATTCTTCTGTCCATTTTTTAATTGTAATTTTTTGTTAGGGATTTATGAGTTTTTTGTATATCAATATTTTGGTATTAACTCCTTATATGATATACAGTTTGCAAAAATTTTCTCCCATTCTGTAGGTTGCCTTTATCATTTTGTTGTTTCTTCTCCTTTGCAAAAGCTTTTAAGTTTAATGTATCATTTGTTGATTTTTACTATTGTTTTTGCTTTTGGCGTCATATTCAAAAAGGTAATTGCCGAGAGCAGTATCAATAAGCTTCTTCCTTACGTTTTTTATTTTCAGGAGTTTTATAGTATCAGGTCTTACATTTAACTTTTTGGTCCATTTTGAGTTAATTTTTGTGAGTGGTGTAAGATAAATGTCCAGTTTCATTATTCTTCATGTATTTTTCTAGTATTCCCAAAATCATTTGTTGAAGAGACTATATTTCCTCATTAGGTGACCTAGGCATCCTTGTCAAATATTAGCTGACTGCATAAACAGGGATTTAATTCTGGGCCCTCTTTGCTGTTCCATTGGTCTACATGTTTATTTTTGTGCCAGTACCATACTGTTTTATTACTGTAGCTTTGTAATATAGCTTGAAATCAGGAAGTATGATCCCTCAAACTTTGTTTTTATTTTTATTTTTTATCAGGATTGCTTTGACTATTTGGGGTCTTGTGTGGTTCCATACAATTTTTAGGATTGTTTTCCATTTTTTGAAGAATGCCATTGGTGTTTTGACAGGGATTACACTGAATCTATAGATTGTTTTGGGCAGTGTGGATATAATAGTATTCATTCTCTAATTCATGAACACAGGTATCTATTTGTTTGCGTCCTCTTCAGTTTCTTTCAGCAAAGTCTTGTAGTTTTCATCATACAGATCTTTCACTTCCTTGGTTAAATGTATTCCAAGTATTTTATTGTTTTTGATGCTATTGTCAATGGGATAGTTTTATTTCTGTTTTAGATGTATAAAAATGGAACTGATTTCTGTATCCTGCAATTTCATGGAAATTATTGATTAGTTCCAACAGTTTTTGGTTACATCATTGGGGTTCTATATACAGATCATATTATACAGATAATGACAGTTTTACTTCTTTCCTGTTTTGGATGACATTTATTTCTTTTTCTTTTTCTTTTCCTAATCTTTCTAGCTATGACTTCCAGCACTATATTGAATAAGAGTGGTGAGAGAACGCTTCCTTGTCTGTTTCTGATCTTAAGGAAAAGCTCCAAATTTTTCTCTTTTGAGTATAACATTAGCTGTGGGTTTGTTATATATGGCACTTATTATGTTGAGTTATGTTCCTTCTGTACCCAATCTGCTGGTTTTGTCAAATGCATTTCTGCATTGAGATGATCATGTGATTCTTACTTTTCATTTAATTAATGTGATGTATTATATTTATTGATTTGCATATGTTGAACCATCCTTGCATCTCGGGGATAAATCCCACTTGGTTATGGTGTACAATCCTTTTTCACATGTTCTTGAATTTGACTTGCTAATATTTTGTTGATAATTTTTGTATCTGTATTTATCTGTGATATTGGCCTATAGTTTTCTTGTGTCCTTATCTGTCTTTGATGTCAGGGTAATGCTGCCCTTGTAGAGTGAGTTTGGAAGTATTCCCTCCTCAATTTTTTGAGTTTGAGAAGACTTGGTGTTAATTCCTCTTTGAATGTTTGGTGAAATTTGCTAGTGAAGCCATTTGATCCTGGGGTTTTCTGTGTTGGGAGGTTTTTCATTACTATTCAGTCTTCTGCTCATTAACGGTCAGTTCAGATTTCTGTTTCTTCCTGATTCTGTCTGGGTATAGGTTGTGTGTTTCTAGACATTTATCCATTTCTTTTAGGTTATCTAATTTGTTGGCATATAATTGTTCATAATAATCTCTATGGTCTTAATGTATTTTTTTGTGTGGTAACAGTTGCAGTGTCTCCTTTTACATTTCTAATTTTGAGTCTTCTTTTTTCCTTAGTCTGGCTAAAATCCGGTCGATTCTGTTTATCTTCTCAAAGAACCAGCTTTTATTTTCATTGAGTCTTTCTGTTGTTTTTCTTGTCTCTAAGTCACTTATTTCCACTCTGATCTTTGATTTCCTTCTTTCTCCTGACTTTGGGCTTAATTTGTTTGTTTTTAATTCCCAGGAGGTATAAAGTTAGGTTGTTTGTTTGAGATCTTTCTAACTTCTTAAGATATGCATTTGTTGCTATAAACTTTCCTCTCAGAACTGCTTTTGCTGTATCCCATAAGTTTTGATACGTTGTATTCCATTTTCATTTGTTTTGAGATAATTTTTTATTTCCCATTTGATTTCTTTGACCCATTGATTGTTTAGTCTCCATATATTTGTAAATTTTCAGTTTTCCTCTTGATTTCTAATTTCATACCACTGTGGTCTGAAAATATAGTTGGTATGATTTCAGTCTTTAAGTTTGCTGAGTTTTGTTTTGTGCCCTATCATAAGGTTTATCCTGGAAAAAGTTCCCTGTGAACACAAGAAGAATGTATATTCTCCTGCTCATGGATAGGCTTTTCTGTGTATGCGTCTGTTAAGCTGATTTGTGGAGTGTGTTTCAATTTAACATTTCCTTGTTAATTTTCTGACTGGATGATTTGCCCATTGTTGACAGTGGGGTATTGAAATCCCCTACTATTATTGTATGGACTGTTTCTCCCTGTAGATCTGTAAGTATTTGTGTGATATATTTCATTGCTCCAATGATGGCTGCATATATATTTAGAGTTGTACCTTCTTTATCTCATTATTGTTTTTGGTTTGAAGCCTGTTTTGTCTGATATGAGAATGGCTATGACCACTTTGTTTTAGTTTCTGTTCACATGGAATATCCTCTCCCATCTCTTCACCTTGAGCCTGTGTGTTTTTTGAGCTAAAATGAGCTTCTGAGAGGTAGCATATAAATGGGTCTTTTTTTTTTTTTTAAATCCATATGGCCACTCTGTGCCTTTTGATTGGTGAATTCAGTCTGTTTATATTTAGAGTGATTATTGACTTATAAAGGACTTAACTCCTTTTCATTATTATTAACTGCCATCTTATTGTTTGCCTTCTGGTTGTTTTGTATCTCCATTTGTTTCTTTCTCCCTGTTTACCTTCGTCAAGTGGTAGCTTTCCATGGTAATTAGCTCAGCCTTCTCTTTTCATGTCTCATAACTCTACTTTAGATTTTTGCTTTGTGGTTACCATGTGGCTTATGAAAAATATAGCATAGATAAAATAGTCCTTTTAATGTTGGTAGCACCTTCATTTGCATATAAAGTTTCCACCGTTTTACTCCTCCCCTTTTATGTTTTTGATGTCACAATTTACCTCATTTTATGCTGTGAATTCACTGAGAAATTAGATAATACTTCTTAAGTCTTTACACTATCATTAAGTGGTTAACACAACTAATATGTAGTTAGTTTTCTAATTTTGACAGTTTATTTTTCACCTTTACTAGAGTAGTGTAAGAAAGTAGGTGAGGGGAACCACTGGAGCTAACAGGCAGTTATCCAAATATTCCCTTCTGTAGGGCCAATGTACTTTTTCTGTTTAGAGGTCAAAGCTCACAGTGAGCTGTGCAGGGCGCTATTGAATTACATATAGACAGGCCCTGGTAAGGATTTTACTTAACGGGAAAGTGGAACTCCTTGTTTTTCTAAAACGTAATTGTGAATTCTTGTCCCTAGGTCCTTATGACAAGGATAAAAGAGAGGCAACTGGGAAGATGGTGACAGAGCTTATGAGTTCTGGTATTAGTAGGTGGGAATTATTCTGGACCTCCCTCTTCTGAAATATTTCAACCACCCACTTCTTACATCAAGCAGTCATTGCCCACTACATTTTTCCTTTTCATAGGCATGTAACATGTCAAGATCCAAAGCAAACCATAAGAGCATACAGAAGAATCCTGGCCCTGTATTTTACAGAGGACCAAACAGGTCACAGAATTTAATAGCTAGTTTTAAGAAACATCTGGGGCTATACGTACAAATTCTTTGTGAAGTTCTTTCCATCTGTTGAGTTCACTTTTCAAGATGTCTTTTGTTTTTATTAAAAGTTACTTTTGGTAGTTTCTACTTCTAAAGAGAGAGGGGCCTATGTGTAGCCCACATTTTGCCAGCTTTTGATTGACTTAAAGAATGTCTAAAAAATACTCTGAGCAGAGAGTACTTTTCACCCAGAAAATCTGTTCTTTTTTCGTATGTTCTTCCTAATAGTATGTCTTTTTGTCCCAGGCACCAAACCAAGAGTTTCTTGTTGTATTACGTATGTAACTTGTTTCTTCAAATGTGCCTCTCACTCAGTTCCTGGGAGTCAGACAGGGCAGGTACAACACTGAGAACAAGGTGGGGAGTCCTGAGGCCGCCTTGCAGTTTTGCTGTGTAGTATGGAAGGGCATTTAAGGAATTCTGCCTAGGTGTATGTCGGTTTATATTCATAATGATAGGCCTCCGAAAACACACTGCCAGCCTCAATGCTTTGGGGGCGAGGGGAAGGCAGAGAGGCATTCCACCCCGTTAATAAACGGAATGATAATGCTGGATCTAATGTAGCCTACTCGAAAATGACTTACAGTATTTTGCTGTGTATAATGTGCTCCCACAGTTTTGTGTGTATTATACACGGGATTATTATGCCCATTATTACATCCATGGTATGTAATCATTATACCCATGTAGAGTGCACATCCTTATTTTTCCCTCAAAAATTTGGGCAAAAATGTGGGCATTATACATGGCAAAATTCAGTATCAGTTAAAAAACCACAAAAACTACTGACCCCATGACAAGAGGTCTAAGCCAGCTCACCGTAGGCTTCGCACTCTAAATAAAAAAGAACTACCTTAGTAATTGACCTTACAGAGTGGAGTATTTGGAAACTGCCTGTTGTTCCATCTCCTACTTTCCTAGCTTTCCTATCTTCTTTTTTTTTTAAAAACCTCATTATCCCCATCTCTCAAATCTTTGGCACCATATTCCTAAACTCCTGTTCTCCTTTTCTTGGTAAACCTCATTTTGCTTCCATTCGATACCTTCTTAGACATTGTGAGCCTAACAGAAAAAAGCAGCTCCCAGAAGCACAGTTTTTACCATTTTATAGAGTATATTGCTATATGTTATATTCAGCTATGCATTTGCCAGCTACTATTGATTTAGCTATTTTAATATATATAGAAGATCAGCACATTACCTGATGTATTAGAAATGATTTCCCTCATTTATATTAACGGGGAGGCTTTTTCTTTGGTGAGCTATAATACACTTTTTCTTTCTGGTAACAAAGATCACCTACCTCCTTTTAGGAAGATGCCTAGGTAACCATGAAGGTCCCAAAACACAACCCTGATGAACAGTAAAAATTATAAGGAAGAAGGATTTAGGTAAGTTCATTTTAAGTTCCATCTAGAAAAGGGGTGTGGCGCTAGCACAGTAAAACTGATCAGTAGAAACTTTTTTTTTCTCAAGGAGCCTACTGTGAGCAGTGTTGGGCACGGGCACTGGCACTTTGAAATGGTACCTCTGTGGCGATAGGGAGCCCTGTATATACTGTGTTCTATTCCTGTAGGTAAATCAAGGCCTACACTGGTTTCTTTGAGAGAAAGCCAGAATCCTTTCTTTCCTTTCTTTTTTCTTTCTTTTTTTCTTTATTCTCCTAGTAATCAACCTGGTCTGAATCTTCAGTTTACCTGACCTTCCCCAGCTCAGCCCTACTTCTCAGAAAGTCTGGAAAAAAAGGAAAAGGTACCTGTTCCAGCTCTTGGTAGGTCGGGAGTCTGAGGTGACGGAGCTCCTCCTTTGATTTTATGAGGGAGTCTTTATTCTCCCACTTGACAAAAGCCCGCTTTCTGACCAACACTGGGCTGGGGCATGGAGATGTAGGACTGGGAAGCACATACAGAGTGTCGTGGGCTGTCTTCCGCGGGGAAGACAGTGCAAAAGGACCAGAAGGGCCCTCGCTGCCAATCCAGGACAGTAATTCAGTCTGGGTGGCCTTGTGGGCCACAGTCCTCTTCAGCCGAACAGAAATCTTCTGTGAGGACACTCCCATGAGCATGATGGTCCGATCCTTACTTTCTTCACCTTGTTCCACAGCCTCCCCATTAGGGAATGTAAAAGGTCCTTCCTCGGGTGCTGTGGGGAGATACACGGCGCATTAGTACTCTCCTTCAAAAAAGCAGGGAACTCAAGATTGACACTTTAGCTTCAAATGAGATCTTTCTTATTGTTACAGGAATTCCACAGGCCCAAAATGGGCTCATTTTCAGGCACCCAATTTAGGGGGTGAAGGGGACTGAAATTCTGGGGCTTTGCTGGCCATGCTGTGGCCACTGGTATCAGGCTCCATCCGCCCTGAGGAAAGGGCATCTGTTTTCTATTTGCACCACGGCTGCCTGGAGGGTTTCTGTTTCTCCAGAAAAGCTGATGCCCCTGCTGCCTCAATGCTATAATGTTTTGTAAAATAAAGAGGGCAGGGTTGATGTATAGACAGACAACATTTCAGAAACACCTTCAGTAGGCCCTGGGATTTGGTCCTGATTCAGGTAGCCTTGATCAGCTGGTAGGTACCTATTCTCTGTGGCACCTATTTGCCCATTTGTACCATAGGCACAGCTTAACTTTGAGAGGGAATTGCTGGTTTTGTGGAAGTGTATCAAAATGTATTGCCTTCATCTGATACTGATTAGAAAAGGAGAGAAGAGCTGTTCTGGTTTTTCTCAAACCAGCATCCTAACCCAGGACCTGGCCTAGATATTAACTAAAAGAAGTTCCTGGAAAAACAGAGTAGGGGCAGATATATTTAACATCGGTGGTAGGCTTTAAGATAGCAGATCATCTATGTTTACTGTTTTGCAAAGACTCAGCTGTAATTTTAAAGTATGCTTTTCTATTAAAATGTTGCATATATATTTCTATTACCAAAGTTTGCAGCCAAGACACTGGATTGGTATAGTCAAAATGGCTTCTGGACAACAACTGAAGTTCTCTACTTAGCATTTGTAATCTGAATCAAAACAGTTTTAATACAAGAAACCTTATAAGGATCCTAGTTTAATTTTTTCTTAGGGGAACATAATTTAAATTAACATTAAATATTTACCCAAATAAAGCTCAAAACTATAATTACCATATTTGTGTATAATGCACACTTTTTTGCCCAAATTTTTGAGGGGAAAAATAAGGATGTGCATTATACATGGGTAGTACTAATTCTCTATCTATATGTTTTTAATTCTTATGCTTATGTTAAAAGTGTACTCTAGAAAGCAATGACAATATCTGTAAGCAAAGTAATACCCTGGAATATGATAATTGGTTTTATATTTAAGCAAAATATTGAATTAAAAAATTAAAAGTTTTTTTCCTGAAAAGTTTGGGCCAAAGACATGGGTGTGCATTATATATGGCGGAATACAGTATACTGTTATTTAAGTACCAGAATAAAATGTTCTATTAGCTCTACAAGAATTATACTGTCTCTTTTGGATCAGTTTTATGGGTGAGGATTTTTTTATATTTCTGTTTTCAAACTTTTCTGTAACACAGTTATACTCCTCTTACCAGCCCAAATTGTAAACTCTTCTACTATTCAGTCAAATTCCTAGACATACTAAAAGCTTGGGATAGAGTCTTAGGCATTATCTTTTTAGAAGAAAGCAAATAAAAAAGCAACAGGACAAGTTCTCAAAACAGAAGGACACGTTCTAGGACAGCACAGTGTTAAAAAAGTCAGAAGAGTCGGAAATTTTTTTAAAAAACACAAAGTAGCAAAGTATAAAAACACAGAGCCCCCCTTTCCAGACTTCACGCTGAGGCCCCAGTCCTTTATGCTGTTCTCTGTCATTTTTCTTTCATGAAAATTTGGATTTTTTTGTGACAACTGTGGTGCCCAAAGATGATATGTAAATGTTAAAATACAGGGTGCATAACATACAGGCATGTCTTCCATAACGGTATCTGTGCTGGTTTCCATTAAGAAGGAGAAGGGTAAAGGTAATCTTTCCTCCCTGAAATCTTCACCCTTCCCATTTCACTTCCAAGATGAATGTTCCCAGTGCCTACTTACCGTGGAGCAGATCTTTGCCTCCCAGTGAGCAAAGGTTGAATGCTGGCCCCACAGAGGCGCTGTTCTCTGTGGAAGCTGCTGAGTTCTTGGCGCGCTTCTTGCACTCAAACACAACCAGATCTTTGCATTGTTTGTGGCAATTCATCCCGCAGTCTGTAGACAAGACAGCCTGGTCAGAAAATCTTTCCCTGTCTTTTCCAGTGTCTCAAAACCATATTTGTACAGGGCCCTGTAGTCACATATGCCTGTCCTATCTTCGGAGCTGGGACATCTAATATTCCCAATGAACCCAGCATTCTCACTCAGTCAGTCCTGGATCTCAGAGTCTTGTTGTAGCCCTTACCATGAGACTCAGACGCAGAAGCAGCATCCTCTTACCTTGGGGGGAAGAGGTATCCCACTCATACTTCCTACTCTAAGGGGACCCTCTGGAGGCTCCCAGCAGTTACATCTTATTCTTTATTCCTTGCATTAAAAGGTCTCCTTTCCTTCAGTCCTGAATTTTTTTAGTCACAAGCAGGTAGCTGCTGATAAAAGGAAAGCTGGCAACGGCCTTTGGTAGTCGCTTCTGTCCCAAAAGTGATTCTATGCCTTCCCTCTCTCCATGACCGTTTGAGAGCATCACCTCCTACCAGCCATCCCTACATCCAGGGCAGAGAGAGGACCTTGAAAGGACAGCTGCATAACTGGTCACGGTCCTCCTGTTTTCTGTATGGTGGCTGTCACTCTCAGGGTCCTCTAGGAAAGTCAGTTTGAGGATGCGGCTGTGCTGAGAAGTTGTGAACTGAATGGGCAACTATTGTGGGGAAACAGTGCTTTATAGGAGCACACCTAAGACCAAGGAAAACAGTGCATTTGATAAAGCTGAGCCTTACCTTTACATCGGTGTCCTTGCTTGATCACTCCCCAGAGCTGTGAGACAAGAGACAGAATGCACCATATGTCATTCATCTGTCTGGCAGGAGGCTAGGCCTTCACATCCACTCTTGATTTTCCCTCATTCTACTTTCTGCCTCGAGGGGGAGGGAAACCTCATTTTCATATGTATTGTCCCTCCTGACCTTAAATTGAAAACAGGAAGTTTGTGCTGATCAGAGTCATGTGTTCTCCGGAAACTCCTAGGATTCGAGTCAGGCCTTCTCTAGGCCAGAATTTGAATCACAGGACAAAGAGGCTTCTCGGGACCCCAAACTAAAAAACAAATCTACAGAATCCTGGTGTCAGGGTCTGGGTATGGGCAGAAACTGCTGATCAGGGGTGGGACAGAGCCCAGGTGACTTCTTAAAGGTAGTTCCTTTTGAAGGGGCGGGGATCTGGGGGTGAAGATCTCTCGTTTCTTTTTCCTAACATTTAAAACAGCATATGAATATATAACACTTAAAAAAAAATATCCCAAATTTAACATTTATCCAAGGCCTCATGAACCAGAGGGAAAACATCAGGAAGGAATGGGAAAAGATGAGCGCAAGTACAAAAACATGCACTTGAAGACTAGGCTATTCTAGGTGCTTGCTTAGGCCCCAAGCTAGGATGTGTTGATATGGGTTGTGAAGTCTGTGCCCGGCTTAGTCATTTTAACATGTCTCATACTCTTCTCCAAGTTCAACGCTGAAGCACTCTAGGAACAACTTACAAATCCAGCACAGTTGTCACAGAAAGTAGGCTTCAGGTAGGTTGTCTCTTGGAAGTTGTGAGGAAAGCCCAGGCCCAGCTTGGAGTAGATTGAGCTGGCCCTCATGAAGTAGGCTGTGATCTCGTCCCTGCTGATGAGGCCTTCCCTGCTGGCCAATGACAGACAAGGACGTGAGGGGGGAAGCAAGGGTGCCTTCTCACCTTAGAAACTCACCTTTCTTTTTCGTCTCGAGTGGGAGTACAGTATGTAGTACCTGGTAATTTCTTCCATGAGCCCCCCCCCACCCGCCCCTTAATAAGCACACATGAATAGCTTGTAATGAGTAGTTGAGATGGCACTACTCATTCTTATATAGTTGTTCTTTGGCTAAACTAGGTTTTTCCAACTAATTTAACCACCATCTAAGGACTTGAAAAAGAAACGATGGAAATTATGTGTGTAGAAAGAGAAATACTTTATGCTGCAGTTTCTGACTTCAGACAGTACATAATATAACTGGAACCCACCAACCATACATTTGGTTTTACACAGAAAAACAAATAGAACTTATGTAACCTTGTGAAAAGTGAATAAGCACATTATTAATACATACTAATGTTTCATAATCTGTAAGGACAAAACAAGAAGGAAGACTAAACTTTTTAAAGTTTATAGTCGATTATTCCTAACCTGGCTTCATGGTCTAATGTGGTCCAAACCAAAGCAAGAGAAGCCTTAATTTGATGACTGCTCTCTTAGCCCCAATATCTTAGCCCAAATATTCATTAAGTGATCATAGCAGCAGCACATCCAAGTTTACAAGTTCTCCTAGTGACACATCCACAAACAGTTTTTATGGAAGGGCTCATATCCACATAGTCCCCACCTGTCTTTGTCCATCACACAAAAGGAAAATGGAAAACTCGCGGCAATTTTTTCAAATTCTTCTTGAGAAATGTATCCATCTTGGTCATGATCATAGTTCTTGAAGACAGACTGGAAAAAAGAGGTTTCCTTGGTGATTACCAAAGAGAAACCAATCATCTCACCTTTTAGCCAAATGACAAAGGGGCTGGAGCGGCTCAAAAAAGCCTCTCCTCAGCCTGAATGAAAGGAACCAGGGAACAGGCTCATTGGGCTGCTGCAAAGGTAGGTGGGTCACAAGCGCAGGGCGGCCAGGGGCTTTCCATCAATTAGCATGTCGGTTAGGACATCAGCCGCCTAGTGCACTCCCCCGCCCCCTCCACCCGGCACCGAGAGGGGTGTTCCCCGGCTCTGCCCTTCCATCGCTCAGCTCAGATTGCACCTTCTCTGTGAAGCTTCAGCTCAGCTGCAAATGCTCCCTTTCCCCTCTTAATCCTCACCTACTCATTGTCCTGTCATTTTCTGGCCCTTTTCTATCGTTTCACTGGCATGATTCACCAGGATAAATGCAGAAATATGAACGTATGTACTGCCCCCTCAGCATGCATAGCACAGTGAACTGAATCAAGTAGTGCCAAAATTTTCCGTTTTAGGTTCTCATTACCTTTCACTTAAACTTTTTCCAACACCTCTCTGCCTCCAAATCAACTGACAACTGTCAAATATATACTCTCCTGCTAGGTCTTTAAGAGGAGGTTCACTTCCCCCCATGTAAAGCCTAAGTGTATTGATACAGTGTAGCCTCAGAACTCTTCTGACCCAGAGCTTGAGAAGTGGTTTCCTGAGCTCACATAGGAACCAGGTTCAATACACCTTGTGTTTCTACTATTGTGCCCTCTCCCTTTCTCCCTTTGTCTGCAGAAACAGCGGTACTTACATCCACCATCCTCTGGACGTGTTTACTTATAGTCTTTGGGTCAGGTTTGGGAGATACTCCAGAGGCCCAGTCCACTACTACTGGTGGCTTTGAAGGTGTTAGTGGCTAAAATGAAATAATCAGAGAAATTCTCATGATTATTATGCAATATAATCTACAGCTCCTTGCTTTCCCACTGATGGCTGCCACTGCTTGACAGCGGCAGACAGCTCCCAACTACATGCTGTGGCAAGAAGCAGACAGCCCCGTATTGAAATTTAGAACAGTAATCTCGGCTAGCGCAAGGACTGTGTTCTGCTCTCTACGAAATGCTCCGCCTGTACATTATCTCCATCTACAGATAATTTAAACTTCTTGACTTAACTACATTTCAGTTCCTTCTCTATTAAACCTTTTGCCAAAGCTATTAACCAAGAGTAAAATGGGTCACTTGAATTTCCTCTCTGTTCTCTCCGTACTATTTAGTAGAGCTATGGATGAGGAGAAAAATAGCTAAAAGGTAGGAAGACACATAAGAAAATTAAACCTGAAGCCTAGACAAGCTGAGATGAGAGCCTGCTTTTAAGTATATAAGACTTGGCCTAAATTAAAATCTTTTCTAAAGATAGGAGATGGTACCCTTTCCACTGAAATGCCTTCCAACATCTTTCATTACAATAGGAAGGTAGAACTTGATCTTCTGTATAGGGACGATGAAATTTAGCCACCTGAACAGGTAAGCTAAATTTCTTTCAGGTGGCTAAATTTCTTATGTGGGGGCAACTCTCTCCCCTTGGGTACCACTTGTTTGGGGGCTGGGAAGCTTCCCAGGACACTGGTGGATTATTGGTCATTCAGAAGGAAGACTGGAATTATTAAGCCTACCTGTTGGAGAGGTGGGGCCAGAAAACCTGTGATGTTCCAACTATGCCGTGCTAGGATTGTGCTATTTGAGGTCTCTACACAGGAGGTCACAGGACTGAGTAGACTGCTCTTTCTGCCCAGATGGCTACAGAATGATGGGGCTTTTCTATCTGTCAGGCTGGAAAATCCTCTGGAGTTAGCTCTGATAGTGTGCATATTGCTCACATTATCATCAGTGAGTCACAGAAGGGAAATTGATGTGGCACCACTTTATAATAAATAGGAGGGAGAGGCCACTCTGGCTCACAATACTATCTCCTTTGTCTAATTTGCAAACCACCTACTGATTCCACCACCCATTCTGATGCTCTATGGCATTTACTTATTTACTGTTCACACATCAGTCTTATCCCGTCAAGAAGACTGTATGCTCTTTATGGTCAGGAACTATCCAACAAAGTTGGGCACACAGTAGAAGCACAATACTCTTACGAGACTAAACTTAAAAGTCTGTCCTTTCAGATGAATGCACCTGTTACCTGCAAGGATCTTAATATGAAAACTCACTGGGGCTTTGTGGTTCCTTGGTTCCCGGGCGTAGGAAAGCTCGTAGATTTCATCCTCAGTGTAGTAGAGATCTAGGGATAACTGCAGATTGCAACAACAGGGTTAATAGCTAGGATGCTGTATTTCTCGGTTTTTTATCTCCAGTGGTTTACTTTTCTAGGCTATTAGTAGTTTCTTTTTTAAGTTCACAAAGTCTGGAGGGTGAATCTACTACTGCAATAGGGCACACATTAACTCTTTTTGTTAAAATGTTTTTAGATATTGGAGAAATTTCAAAATGCCCTCATTAAAACTACAATTTAATCTCTAAGCCCTTATGTAGAGCTTAGGCCCTGTGTGGGCAGATGCTCCACACCTCGCTTGTTCTTTCCTAAAGCAGACAGATGGTCTGGAAGGATAGTTTGCATGGCCTGATACTATTAAAATTTGACTCCTGCACCAGAACCTAGTTTAAGTAACAGGTATCATTAAACAATAGTGAAAGTTAATAAATTCCACACATATTAGAACTATAAAATTTTAGAGGACAGAGGCCTTACAATCTTGTTTTGAACTTATGATCTATGAACGGCCTTCAGGAAATTCAGAACTCAAAAGTATTTTTGTGTATATGACTTTTGTATATTTTTCTGGGAAGACTGTTCACAGCTTTTATCACAGGATTTGTGATCCCCAAAAGTTAAGATTCAGTGCGTGTTTCCACAGATGATAATGTCTAAGGCCAAGTCCAAGGTCACCTCGCCATTAGAAAGAAGCACATTAAAAATTGTATTTTACACTGCAAGAGAAGTCATCTCACAGACTAACCCCTCTGATTTTACAGAGGAGAAAACAGGGCTCGGGGTTTCATGCCCACAGTGACACAGCTGGTGAACCTACAGTACTGCAAGTTGGGAAGGGAGTTCATCTGCTCTCCCTCTGCACCTGAAATGCAAGCTTTGGTTTCCTGCACCATTGCAAGTGTTTGCCTTCCCTCAGCTGAAAGGCTTCCAGGAACAGGAATCCAAATAATGAACCTGCTTTTCTTTCTTTTCTTTCTTTCTCTCGCTCTTTCTCTCTCTCTTTCTCTCTTTCTCTCTCTCTTTCTCTTTCTTTTTTCTTTTTTGACTCATTGCCTTGTCCTTTATTATGAGAACACGCTGTCTCTGTCTCTTACCAAGCCTGTATCATGATTTGCTCTCAGCTCCTCCCAGAGAGGCGAGGACTGCTCTCGCAGGGAGAGGGAAACGCCCCTAGGAGCCAGAAGGGCATCCTGCTTAGGAATGCAGCCACTGGGTGCTACCTCCTGGGTCTGAACCCAGGCTCTGCTGCTAACTAATGTCTCATCCTCTAGAAAATCATGTCTTTGTGCCTCCCTATTCCCATCCATAAAATGGAGATAACAGCAGTATTGACTTCGTAGTTTTTATGAGGGTTAACCGAGCTAATATGTGGTAAGGCACAGAGAGTGGTGGCTGGCACACAATGCGCTTAGTCATCTCCCAGGCGAGCCTCACCGTCAGCAGGTGCACCAAGTCCTTGTTGGCCTCCAAGGGCGGGGCCACCTCTTGCAGCTGGACCAGTTCGTTGATATGATTGTAAAGGGCCAGCAGCTTGTGGACGTTCACCTTCCCATCCTCCAGGTAGTCAGGCATGGCTTCATACAGGGAGATGAGGTCCTTGAGGTGCACCCCCAGGATGGGGATCTTGAAGTGGGTGCACTCCCCGTAGGCTCGCCGGTAGTTGTCGTAGTTTCTGCAGGAGGACAGCAGCTCAGTCATCTCACCCAGGACCTGTGAAGAGGAGAGACCCGATCACTGTTACCTGCCAGGCAGGTAGTATTGTCTGCAGTGGTCACGTTGTTTACTTTCAGCCTCTACCATGATTTCACCCCATCCCCAATCTGTCAGGCAGGGGGAGATTCATCTAGAAGGTGCAGATTATGACTCTCAAATGTAAACTCCAGCGTGTATGAAATGCCACAGAGTGTACTTAAAAACATAGGTGTTCTTTCCTTTATTCTACTACATAAGTGAACAATTTTAAATGAGGCCTTATCACTTTGGCACTAAAATTATTCTTTTATAAAATTAGAAAACACCTGATATAAAAATCAAAGGTACAGGAGTGTACAGTGACTGTGTCCCTCTGACCTTTGCCCCAAGCCATGCAGATCGCTTCCCCGGTGGCTTCTGAGCCCTTCCAGAGACACCACATTACCTAACACTTGGAACGTGATATTAGGAGTGCTGACTGGGTTGCTGGTGTGGGGAAAAGCACGGAGAGCCTCCATAGTCTGTTGCATGTTTGAGTCTTAATGCTGTGCTGTCTGGGCCTTATTATCTTAATCATTCTCAAAACGGGCCTATGGCTAGGAAGCAGGTGATACTCCATTCACTGACTGAAACCCTGATCTGGAAAGACTGAATAGATCGATTCCCAGCAAAGGACATGGGGAGGATGAGGCAGAGGCCCCAGGGAGCTCTTCTTCCAAGGCACAGGGAAGGCACACAGCTGCTCATCAATCAGCGGGAAGAGGGACCAGCCAGATCTGGCGTTCTTGCCAAACACGCCTGGCTCGTGTCAGCAAGCAGTTCACAGAACCACGTTGCCCACGTGTGATGACCAGCTTTCTCAGAAGCGAAGACAGGAGGTACAGACTGCCAATCATGTTACAACACAAAATTATCCTCTTAAACACTGCCAGAAATTAGTTTAATAAAATTGTGGCCTAAGATGTACCATTTCCCCCTGCCCTCCCCCCACCCCCACCCCGAGAAGAACTTGAGGTTCTGGAGCTAGCCTTCCTCAGTCACTTTGACCTGGCGGGAGAGCCTCCTCGTCCCACAAATAGCACAGGTGGTGTGAGTATGGAAGGTGCTCACAGATGAGAGATTAACAGCAAAAAATAATATATTTTTGTTCTCTTTTGAAGGTGAAATAAACTACTGGGAGATGCTTGCTTTAAGGTGGACTTAACTGATTCACTCTGCCAACCACCCTGGGGGCCAGCAGCTACAGACGAGAAAGCACTAGTGTGGGGTCCCCCAGCTTAAGAGGAGCAAACTATGTCTTATAAGTGAAACGACACAAAGGCATGTTTATCTTGTGACTATTTCCTTCTGTCACCTCTGAGACATGGCCAATCTTTTCGGTTGTTCCACAAGGTCCCAGCAGAACTATTAGGGAATTATAAGGTGACCAGACCACCAGAATTGGGTGGGTCAGCATTCTCAGAGCCATGTATGAGAGCAGGATGATTAATTAGAGACCCCAAAGGAGGCTGAACACCTGGGGAAAATGGCTGGGAGAAAGAGGCACAGATGTCTCTCTCCCTAAGAAGAGAGTCTTGTGCCAGCGTGCATCTAGGAAGGGAGAGTTGGTCCTCTTAAATGAGATGAAAATGCTCAAAGAGCAGTCATTTTCTAACCCCTACCACACTTGGCTGCACAGATATTTCAATATATCACAGTGGCCTATCTTTATAACAGCCTTATGTTATAAAGTATTAAAATCATGTCTGTAAAATCTAAGAATGTAGGAAAAAGGATACTTAAGAAAAATATTCCTCAGTGAAACCCTATTACAAAATGGCACCTGAAAAGCTGATTTGCAATTATCTGGGAAAATCCAACCAACTGGAATATCATTCTTCAGGGGATCTGGAGATCTAGGGTTTTAAAGCATCACTATATAAATACACTTGGCAAACTGAGCCACTATTCCTTTTGGGAAAACATTTTGGAGCAAGGGAGTCAGTATCAAAGATGGTGCCTGAATGTTCTGCGGTCTATGAGCACGGGAGAGAGGCGCACATTATTAAACTAAACAGCAAGAACATGTGCAGTGACACTGAGGCAAGACTGAATCACAGTCACTTTCAAATCTGTGACGTCCCCATCCTGTGGGTTTTCTTGGGGGTTGCCTCCTTGGTATTTTTCCTGGTTGACAGGGTGGTGTGGTTTGCAGATGCTTCCTGGGTCACCCCCTCAAGGGGGAAATGTTGACACTGGTCCTAGGGATGCTGCTAAGAAGCTTCAGAAGAGACAGTAGCACTGACCTTATTGATTTCATGTGGAACGTGTGAACTTGTCTCCTTGAGCCTGGAGATTGAGCTGTGACATAGGCCACCTATCACAGCCATCAAAGTATTGAAGTTCTGTAGTTGGTGGAGCTTCTATGATATACAAAACAGATGAGAACAGTCACTGAACATGTCAGTTACATGAGAGCTCAGAGGCTGCCTCTTCTCTTCCCCCCCTTTCTTATATTGGTCAAACACTAGCTATCAGGTGTTGTCATTTACTGTTCACTTCTCCCCTTAGGCTTAATTCCAGACCAGTAGATCCTCAGTCTAGCAAGGCATCACATCTCCCTCCCTTTGTGCTGCTGGTCTTCGGACTACCATCTAGGTCAGTGGTTTCTAAGAATCGCCCAAAACACTTGTTTAACACAAAGGTTTCTGGACCCACTCTGACCAGTAATGGCTCAGTTGGGTACCGTTCCGCACATGCCTAGGTTGGTAGTTCAGTGCTTGGCTGGGACATGGTTCTAGAGGCAGCCGATCATTGTTTCTCTGCCTCCCTTTCTTCCTCCCTTACCCTCTCTTTAAAAGTAAATAAAATAAAATAAAGATTTCTATACCCAAGCCCTGATAGTCTGATTGCCCGGTTCTGGGGCTGAACTTAGGGATCTGTGCTTTTAATACACCTTTAGTTAATATCAGAGCAGGTAGTCTGTGTACCAACTTTGAGAAACACTGATCTAGACCATCTAGAACTGGAAAAATGTAAGATTAAGCATACTCTTATATATCTTTTATATGGAGTTAACCAGGTTGTTTCATTTTTGAGAGCAAGGACTGTCTTCTGCTTTTCAATGTCAGTGCCTATATAGGTCAGAAATTGGGATAGAGAAGCTAGAATCTCTGGGAAATTTCAGGCGTGTATTCATAAGACTGTAGGTCCTTGAATAACATTGTTTCAGTCAACATCATTTCATTATAACATTGATGAGATGCCAGGACAGTTCAAGGCATGCTAACCTCACCTGGCTCAGGAGGGGAAAGACTTGGCTGCAGAAGAGGGGATAGTTTCCCTCGTAGCCCAAGCCACACTCTTACTCTGTCACTCACCTGAGCCACCTGGATGAACTTGATGAAGACTTCAGCTCGCAGCTGCGGGGTAGGGCGGCTGAGCACCATCAGCTGCACCCACTGGGAGATGCCGTTGCACAGGGCTATGGACCGCTCCATGGTGGGATTCTCCTTCACGCAGCTGTTCACCAGGTAATTCTGGTAATCGGAGAACTGGTGGGAAAGAAACCCATCAGGCTGCTGCTCTGATGTTCTGGGAGATCTGAGGGCATGTCACCTCTTTTCAGTTGATGGCCCAGAACTGCCATAGGCCCGAGGAGCTCCTGGCCCTCCTCTCCTGTTTGTCTTCTACTTGGCAGACAAAAAATGGCAGGCAGGAAATCTTCCTGATTTTGCCCACAGCATGGTCTCTCTCCACCAAAAGTCATGAGGCATAGCGGATGTGTACTAGTTAATCCAACACACTAGTTAATTCAAATATTGTATTTGGGTAGATACTGGTACTTCTAAATTCTAAAGAATACAGAATAGAAGAAAAGTCTCAGTACTAATTCCACCTCTGCTGCTGAAGTTGGAAGGGGAAAAAGGGATTCACAAAAGACTATCATTCTCCTCTCCGCCTCACTCGCATGCTCTCCACTCCCTCCCTCTCTCCTTTCCTCTCTTAGTCCCCCAGCTCTTTTCTAACTTTAAGAATAGGATAATAAAATCTGCTCTATGGAGCACATGGAATTGTTATGGAGATCAAACGTAAGGTGTGAAACCACTTTAACTTTTCAAAGTGTTACATAAATGTGAGGCGGTACGAATAGGATAATTATTACCTTCGTGCTCAAACAAACCTGTTTGAATTTACTTTGAACTTGAACAGAGGCCAAATGAGTTGGGCACAAGAAACCTGATTAGCTAATTCTGTGACCATAGTTTCCCAACTGGACAACAGCACTGACTATGGCTGACAATTAAACAGCATATGTGAAACTGGAAATGTCCCAGATCACTGTGTAAGTGAGGACTGTAGCTTTCATGTCCCTGTCCTAACAGTCCTTCTGCTCAAGTAAGATAACCAAGAGGGAGGAGCAGTCTACCTGCTCCAGTGCGCCTGTGGAAGTTTTTGGTGCAGGTATTTTCAGCTCTTTGCTTCTCAATTTGCCCCTTTGAAATCAGGTGTAACTATGTAGCATAGTTTAGCTAGCAGCATGTGAGTGGAAGTGATGTGACTTTTGAGGGGAAGATACAAGAGCCACTGAATGTTTTGCCATGTTGCGTTTCCATGGCTGCCGAGAGCATGGAAGTTGGTGTGAAGATGAAGCTCCCCAAATCCTGTCCCTGAGCGACTGTGACCAGCAGAGGCCCCTGTTGACACGTGTTAGACAAGTAGTGTGAGTGGAAAGGTGCACTTTTGCTGTTAGGCCACTGAGATTGTGGGGGAGGAGTGGGGGGGGGGGGGGGGGGGGGGGGGCTGTTACTTCAGTATCCGTGCTTTATCCTGCCCGACTAGTAATACACTGATGAGAAAACCTCACAACCTAAATAATGTAAATGCAAATTAACTGGGCCCCATTTATTGTGCTGTGATTACTCACGAGTAGAAAACTATGAGCAGGACCAAAACTACTACTTAGGAGAGACAGACAAAGCAAAAATCTTACTGGTTCTATGAGAAAATTCCCATGACTCATTCCAGTGAACTCATTTATATACCCCTCCCACTATAAACGTAACATATTCAACTATTTTTAAAAGGATTATCCCAGTTATATCACCACCATGCCCCCCTCCCCAAGTATTATAATAAACAGAAAAGATCAAATGTCACTCAATTCACAGCAGGGAGAAATGTCCCTCCAATCTCATGTAGGCGGAAAAATAATTGTTTGGGAAAACTGATAACCATGTAGGAAAAACAAAAAGTCCCCTCAAAAGTATTTTTCTCTGAGGAGACTATGCTGTTCAAAAGAAATGAAGGTCCCAAGTGATGCTCTCTCTTGCAAACAGAACACTGGCTCAGCCGCGGGGCAGCGCGGGCCAGAGGCCTTGTTCCGCGCCGACCTTCCACGGCTGCCCTGCCGGTCTGAGTGAGCCCCGGCAGCGGCAGACACCCTGCAGGCCCGACCCGGCAGCCCTGCCAGCTGGGCCCCAGCACAGCGCAGATCGGCAGCGTGATAAATGGCTCCTTTCGGTGTCCCTCCCCGTGGCAGGGGAGGCACTGCCAAGTGGAAACTACCCAGGCGGCGCCTCCCAGCAGGGTCCTGTGGCTCTGGCCTGAGGGGGGCCAGTGAGGTGAACACGGGGCTAGCACAGATTACTGCTTGGAGACTTATTTCCAAATGGGAGCTGGGGGTCCTGGGCTGGCTGGGCAAAGAGCTATGCAAAAACAGACATCAGCATTATGGGAGAAAAGATGAAATAACCTCTGTAACCTGGTTTGCAGAATTCCTTTCAAACAGACCCAGGCTCAGTAAGTTGGCGCTGAGTGACCAAGACAGGCACATGCCTCTAGCCCCAGATCTTAATCCAATAAGCCGTGCGACCTTGCTGAGCCACCCCTCTGGGCCGCCATTCCCTCATCTGGCGAAACAGGTCAACACACCTGCAGCAACTAGTCTCCATTTAGAACAAAGCTGAAGACTATTTTTCAGGATAGACAGGGGCTGAGTAAAGGTCACTTCTCAGGAAAGCATATGGGCCCTTGAGGGCCTGTTGGCATCTGATGTTGACAAGTTCTTTTGTATGGAATCAGTCCTCTTTGGGATCAAGTACGAAGTTTTAAAGAGCAAGTCTGGGTGAGCATCACTATCTCTAGAATCATCAGTGACTGCTGGTCCATATCAGCACCATTTCAAGGGTTTAGGATATTCTGAGCTGGACGGGCAACATCTGGTTTATTTTGGGATGTCCTAGAGCTATTCAGAACCTATCCTAGAATGAACTCAGTCTCGTAGAGGACATATCTCCACTTTATTGGAGAAAAATTAAAAAACAAAGTTTCTGGCAGCCTAATGACTATCAGAGGTCAAAGGGGCATGTGTGCATGTACACTCACATATGCATGTGTGCCCACTGTATTGTCACCTGAGCGAGGGGTGGGGCGGGCATGGAAGATGGAGGGAGGACACAGGAATTCGGAGTACACTGACCCTCTGGACTGTACAAAGTCTGCCAGGAAGACCTACCAGCCCCGGGGTGGCTTCTGTGGTTACGAGGTGAACAAACTGTTGAATTTCTCTGCTTAAGTTCAGAAACACCCCAGGGAAGTTTTTCTCCTGCCCCTTGGGTACATACGGATATCCTCCGGAAGGACTTGAACTCCAGGTAGGTGAGGTGCTCTGACAGCTCTTCTGGTTCCAGATGGTCAAAGAGCAGGGAGACTTTCCGTTTCTTGCTGGTGTTTGATTTTATCCTTTGAGTAAGTTTCCTGGACCAGTCACGGGAATTGCTTTTGTGGTTAAACGTGAAAGAGAGAAGATGGGGAAAAAGAATAAATCAAAATTGCTTCTGATTGCAAGTCAATCCACTGACGTTTTTCACAAGAATATATAAAGAACCATTAGCTAACTTTCCTTGGTGAAAACAATGCATTACCAGTTTCCCAAATCAATTTTTCCTATGGTTGCAGCTAGGGAGCCTTGCTGGTTTCCTATGAACCTTCTGAACATGCCGTGGGAATTGGGTAAAAGGTGTTCACTTTAAGGCCATGGGAAGGCCAGTCTCAGGTCTTGGCCACCATTTCCTGGCATTTGGTCTGGGCTCCTTTCTCTAGTGCCTGGCATGTGTGCCTCCGCATGTCTACTGTGTGTCCCCTCATTCTCATAAGGGTAACAGGGGTTCTCTGACTGGTTGGAAATCTCAAGGTAGGAGTAAGTTTTCACGCCAGAAGAGCACAGAGAACCATGCGAGATGTCACGCTGCAGGGAATCGTGTAGGAACATGTTGGCACTGGAAGCAGACTTGGGGCATTGCCTCAATGTCCCCAGCTGGTGCAGCTGATGTCCCCAAGGAAGCCTACTGACCCTGGGGTACCCCCCAACCACCACTATTTTCTAATAACCAACCCATGTGTTTCTGATTTAGTTTCAATTACGCTAAAGCAAAGTGAGGCAGCTGTTTTGAGAGCTAGCGGGTTGCAGATCTGTGATTCCCAAACTGGTATTGCTGAGAACCTTGTCTCTTGACAGAAGGGTTCTGTGGTCGAGTTTGGCAAACGCTACAAATTCTGTAGCCCCATTGGCCAATGAGCAAATTACAGAGCCTGAGGTGCACTGCAGATTTTGCAAGTTTAATATACCTGGTCAGGCAATATCACTGACTAATTCCTAAAGAACAGACTGGGGGAAACATCAGCAGAGGAAAGCCACCTGGGGGCGTGCTGGGACGGAGATCTGGGTTTGAGAACTGCCCCGGGGCCTAGGCTCTGCATCTTAAAAATGAGGAAATTGTTACTTGAAAATCTCTTTTACCTTTCAAATTGTATTATTCTTAGCAGAGAGGAGCAGAGAATCCAAACTGATAAACTGATTTGTTTGGGGCTATGAAACGTGATTTTTAAATCATTCCTGCGTGGCTCTGACACAGTGCACCGAGGAACTGTAGAGCGCAGCTTCTGCTCTGCCACTACTTACCCCGTGGTGTGACCCCAGACAGGTCACACAACCTTGCTGAGCCTCAGTTTCACAGGATGTTGGATGACATGGTCTCTAGAGTTTCAAAACGTTCTAGAAATCTACATCTTAGGGGTCTGCACTATCCCAAAATAATGTGGCCACACACTGTGAAAATCTTAGTATACAACGTGTGCGCCCTCCTCTCCCAAATTAGGGAAGGCACTCATTTTCCAGAGTGAGCCAACCTTATAAATAAGAAATCCAAGAAACAGTGTGAAATATTCCTACACTCTCTCCCAGCTCCTGAAGTCTAAGTGTCTTTCATAGACTCCAAATGTGTCATAAGCCCTCTGCTCAATACATTTTCAGCTGTCCCTTCCACATTTTCAAGTTCAGGACGTCCTCCAGGCATTAGCTGGCAAGAAGCCAGAGTTTAGTCACTGTGATTTCAGTTTCTCACGATCTGAACACATTTTAGTCAGTATCTTGCTATCCAATTTCTTTCTGACTGAGTCTTACATTTTTTCTGCTGTGAACATTAGTCACCCACAGCTTTATCACCAGGGGGCTTCTCTGCTCACTTGTTAAATGTCAAGCTTTCCACTTGGGTGAGGTGATTTGCACCTGCCTGTCTGCGGGGCATCTCCCAGCAGGGACTGCGCGGCAGGCACAGCAGGAGCCAGGCTGGCTGAGCAGACTGGGTGCTGCCCTAGGAGGGAGGTGGTTGGAGCGACTCCTCAAAACCTGGACACTCACATTTGAGTCGTGTCGATCAGGCGGCAGTGTAGCTCCTCCCCCTTAGCCTTCACCAGTTCCTGAAACTCCTCCATAGTGTTTGTCAAGCTGGCATCCGTTTTAAACATGATCCAGAATTCTGTTATCCAATACCTGCAAGGTGGGAGTCAAAAAACAATCCAAAACCAAAGGCAAGGACCCACACTTTGGTGGGCTCTTCCCACAGAGGACTGAGAAAAAGGGGCTGGTTTGCCCTTTCAGATTCCTGGGGATATAGAATATAAGGAGCCAGGGTGGAGGAGCCAGGGAGGGAAGAAGACCACCTGTCAACAACCCTCTGTCCCTCTATACATTTAATGCTCTGCTAGGATAAGGCGCATCATGATCAAAGGAGCCACCACAGAGGGTTAGGCACAGTCATGAGTATCAAAGATAGTCATAAATAAGACAGCTACAGACAAAACCAAGTGTCCCGTCATGGGGCAATATATCTGTAAGTTACGCTTCATCCTATCTTAGAACAGTATATGGCCATGAACATAATATCACAAAAAGGTTTAAATTACTAGAGAAGTTTTCAATGATATTAAAGTTAACACTATGGGATATAAAACTTCGTATGTGTTTTGGTCTCAACTATGTTTTTAAAATCTGCTTGGAAAAAAAGGCAAAGGAAATATACCAAAATAGGTAGTTAGAGATGAGTGATTATTACTACAGTTACATTTTTTTTCTGTATTTTCAAAATGCACTAATCTGAGCTATATTACTTTTATAATTAGGACTAAAAAAAAAAAAACGAGATAACCTCTCTCTATGTCACTGGATACCAAAGTGCTGTCAGAGGCAAACGCTGGTATACAACATAAGCTCAGGCACAGTGAAAGAAACGGACTCTGCTCCTCTGCAGGCAGCCCCGGCTGCCCTTCCCAGCTGCCCAGAGGTGATCTACAGACAGGCGCTCAGGATGGGGATGGCAGGGAAGCCATGGAGGGAACGGGGCACCCTGCTCCACAAAGTCCCAAATGCATGCAGAACGGTTACCTCACAAAATAGCAGATCTTCAGGCAAAGCCCTGGTGAATTCTTCGCCAAGGCATCCTCATACGTGGGCTGCAGTTAAGGGAAATGGAAGCCTCTGGTACGGAAACAAAACCATTGCCCACCCCCGAAATTTCTTTTAAATGAAAATGTTTTCTTATCTCTCAGATAAAAACCAACTTGACTGGTGCGGCCATGTTTAGATGGGTGATATGGTGACGTTCTATCTAAATCATGCTCAAACGGCAATGGAGGGAGGCCACAGCACCTCTTCTGCAGAAGTAGACTAGGAAGTCAGCGGTGTGGAAAGCCCCAGCACAGGTGACCAGTAGGAAGTGAAGAAGGGACAAAAGACCCCCTGCCCATGCCCAGGAGACCAGGAGTCCAATGGAGACAAGTTAAAAAGAGCAGCCCCTTCTTGTCTTGAAAATGTTTCCAGTAACTGATAAACAATTTGTGCAGTGAATCAGAGAGGAAGGGGAAGGAATAAGCACTGAGGTTTACTGTCATGACAAAAATATGAAAATGATAATATACACCTAGAGGATGTCAGTAGCGTGACCTTGTAAGGTGCGATGGTAAGTCAGACAAAGCCATGTGAACAATCCAAAACACAAATGGAGACCACGTTAAGGATCCGTATTACTTGGAGCGTTCCATGAGAATGGTGCCATCCTAAGACTATAAAAGAGCATTAAGATTCCATCAAGTTCACATGTCTCTAGAGCAGTGATTTTCAATCAGTGTGCCACAAGGATTTTTAAAACAGGCAATACCTGATTAGTCAGGGACACTGATCTCTTTTCCCTTAGACTGCCAAAAAAAAAAAAAAAAAAAATGGCAACAGCCAAGACAACAATAGCTACCTGGTGTGAGTGAATCAAAAATACACTTTTTTTGGTTAGATTAGCAAAAAATATATTTTTGGTGTGCCACAGAATTTTAGCAATTGGTTTATGTGTGCCATGAGATGAAAAGGTTGAAAATTGCTGCTCTAGAGCTGTATGGAAAGAATATTCACTTAAGAGTGGAAGAAATGCAAAATCCGATCCACTCTCTACTGGACCTGGGTGGGCTCTACTCTCTTCCATATACAGAACGAGCAGTTGGGGTGTCTGGCCTGCGTGCCTTCAAGAATCTGCCCTCTTCCTCTTCTAAAAGCGCCACCATGACAACTGCAATGCAGCTCTCAGTGAACTGCAGCGTGGCCGCCGTGATGAATCGGGGGAGAAGCCGGCAGAGATCTCAGTTACTAACTAGGGCAGGAGCAGTCTTCCTTCAGTGGGCGTGCACACTGTAACCCCTGGGAAATTCAGGGTTAAGCATAGCAGAGACAGTCCAAATCGTATTACTGATGTTTTTATTAGGAATGCATCCATCTATACCTGTTGAGTAAGAGTACATTAGAAGGATAGCCTTGAAACTTCAATTTGGAATGTATAATTAAGTGTTTTAGACTTGTGGTTTTAAATTGGTATCTTAGGTTTATGCATGACTTTGGAACATCTAAGATAATGTTAGCTTTACTGCTTATAACTTCAAACTACTAGAATTATAAAAGCTATTTTGAATTCAGAAAGGCCTCTGGAATATTTAAAAATAATCTAAAATGTAAAATTCACAATTGTTTAAAAACATTGGAAGTGTTTAATTAGCATTATTCAAACATTTTTCAAGGCCCCTTAAAAATGTTTGGTGGAACATGCAAGACTTATAGAAAGAATAAGGTTTACAAGCTAAACTTCAACCCCTAAAGAAAAACTATGGTTGTGAAATCTGTACTTTCAATAAGATGACTTTAATTTTAAAAACATATTGTAATGGATTTGCTGCTTATGAAATCTGTCCTTGAGGACCCTAAAACAGAAACACAAAACCACACACACATCAACAAATGCAATCAAAATGAAAAGAAGCCCAGGCTACTGGCAAACTTCATGAAGTAACAGGTTCTGACACCTGCCTTTTCTGGGGTATAAAAAGCAGGAATGAGAATGAGGTTACAAAAATCGTTATGCCATATCACTAAGAAAGTGCATCCCCTTGATGCCAAGATATTCAAGCATAAGGCACAGTTCAGATAAATAGGTCTTAGAGTCTATATTTTTAATTATTTGATCAGCTTGTTGAAATTTTTATTCTTCCTATTGAATAAGGCACAAAAGCCAATCTCTTTTAAAACAACCAAATGGACATATAAATCAACATGGCACCCTTGATGTGGAGCTTATCTTCCTCCTGGTGGTTTCTTATCCTTCTCTTCAAACATCCCTTCTGGTAGGGCACATGGCTGCAATCGGGGCGTGGGCATCGGGTCTATGTAAATCCGGTTGGCCTGAGTTCCAGTGCTGAGCCTGTGTGGGCAGGCAGAAGGCCAGGCAGAATGGCAGAGCCTTCCAAGGTCACCAGAGCCCCTAGGCCTAGCGAAGGCAGCCTGAGGTGAGGCACGGCACCCACTCTGTCATTTGAGGAGATGAAGCCAAAGCTCACAACACAGGCTGGCCATACAAGGCTCAGGTGTCTGCTTGACCCGGGGTGAAGGTCCCTGCGGCTCGCCGTTCGGGCTCCACACCTTTTCCTTCTCTTCACGGCTAGTACTGCGCCTGGGAAGTGCCAGGGCCATTCTGACTATACTTTTCAGGCATCTGAACTATTCAAAGCATGTTTAAATTCTCTCTCTCTCTCTCTCTCTCTCTCTCTCTCTCGCAGTGGAAAAATAGGAAACCATCTTAGCTTATTTAACTAACAATTCTGTTACTTCCAAGTCAGAGAGCAGGGAAAGTAAGCATGAAGAAAAAATTGTTTTGCCTGCTGTGTTTAACCTGGGTTTTGATGACTGGGAGTCTTCATATTCCCTTCTTAGAATCCCTCCCCCCATATGCCAGACTTGAGGAAAGCCCAGATTTCTCACCTAAAGGTCCTGAGAGATACAGAAAAAGTATCCCAATGTTTTGCACCCACAGTAATGTGACATTCATTGTGTCCTACCATGAGGTGGTCACTAAACTTAGTTCTTGAGAAACAAAGATAAATAAACCTTGGTTCCTCCCCTTGAGGGAGAGTCTAGTGTGAGAGACAACACGTAAATAGCTAAGCTACAACATGATGTATGTATATATGTTGAAACTATAGATTTTTTCTTAAAGTAATGTGTAATTTAATTTTTCAGTACCCTTGCAAAATTCTGTATTACTAACACAATTCAAACTACAGCACCTAGATACAAAGGTTTGATTTACAGATGACTTAAAATAAGTCATCTCCAAATATCCGAATATATAGGTATTACATTTCAAAATTTACAGACTAAAGTTTAGGCAGATTGATTTATTTAGCTAACAGTGATTTTCAACTGGTGTGCCACAAGAATTGTTAAAATGTGCAATACCTGACTATTTAGTGAGGGGCACTGACCTCTTTTTCCCTTAGACTGTCAAATAAAAAGATGATAACAGCCACACAACAATAGCTATCTGGTGTGAACAAGTCAAAATTATACCTATTTTTTTGGTCAGATTGGCAAAAATATCTATCTTTTGATGGGCTGCAGAATTTTAGTAATTAGTTTATGTGTACCATGAGGTGAACAAGGTTGAACTCGCTGAGCTAAGCAGAGTGGAAACACTTCACACCTTCTGCGATCACAGATGAAAAGCTTTTCAAGGCAGACGACAGCCAGGCCAGAGACAGGAGAGACATACGTTGACTTACGCACTATGAAATAAAGTCACAGAAATTAAATAGGTTTTTCAAATCAATAACACTGTTTTAAAATATTAGATGCATTTTTTAAAATTTCTATTGATTTTGAGAGAGAGAGACAGAAGTATTCATTAATTGGTCTACTTGTTGATTGTTGTGTGGGCTGTGACCAGGAATCGAACCAACAACCTTGGTCTATTGGGTGAATACTTTAACCAACTGAGCTACCCAGCTAGGGCCTAAAACACTAGATGTATTTTTAAAGGGGTAGGAGGTGGAAAGGTCAGGAAAGACTTTACAGAGCATGTTGAGAGAGAGAGAAGGCATTCCAGCCCCGGGAACTACAAGACGATTCATTGCAGTCTGGAGCGTGGAGAAGTTCAGTGGGGAGCGGAGCGTTTCTGAGCTGCAGGAGGCCCTGGAGGGCCACTTCCTGGCAACTGAGCGCCTGACATTACCCCTCTGGCGTGCGGAGGTTCTGAGGCAATGGTTACCTGATTTCTCAGGAACGTAACTTCAGAGGTGGATAATACACAGGAGGTGGAGGCGTGTAGATGAGAAGACCATGGGACAGAGGCTTCGGAGAGAGCCCTTGGGGCCCAGACTGTGGCAGTGGCATGGGAACGGAGAGCAGAGACCGGGGGAGAGTCATTTCTGAAGTCGAAACCCTGGGAATGGGTGATGGCCCCTGTAGGAGGTGAAAGGCAGGACAGAGCTGAGAGCACTTCAGATGTTTCTGCTTTAGGCAACTGAATGGGTAACGACACCATTCACTGAAACCGAAAGCGAGAATACAGGTGTCGACGCAGAATGAATGGGGTAGTAGTTGGAGAGAGGGGGTGGTGAGTTAATGAGTTAACTTCCGAACATATAAAGATTGAAGTGTCTGCAGGACAAAGTACTCCCAGCATTTTAAAAAAATGGTTTGGATTAGAGAAATAGAGACTTGAAAGTCATCAACACAGAAGGATGGTGGTGAAAATCCTGGCGAGACATCACCCGGGGAAAGAAGAGTGAGAAAAAAGCCAGGATGTCATCCCAGCGTGTAAGGGGTATGCAAAGAAGATGCCAGTTGGGAAGCTGGAGCACGGCCAGCCTGGGCGCGGAGGGCCAGCCCCCGCGGGGCTGGGAGCCCTGGAGGGACAGCTGGAGAGGCGGGGGGTGTCCACAAAGCCCCGTGCTTCTGGGAGGTCAGCGTGAACAGAAATGGGAAAAGGCCATGGGCTTGGCGCCTGGGAGGTCCCTAGCGCCATGAGGGGAAAGTCGGAGTACAGAGCTGGGGGCCACAGCTGAACTAAGGAGCGAGTGGGAGGGAAGAGACTGGAGGTAAGTGGGCGCAGACAACGTTAAGGCACATCAGATTTCTAACCTAACAATGGAATGAAAGGGAGGCAGGGCTGGGAGTTTATTTTTCGACTGGGGAGATCTGAATGCGTTTCAGGCCAAGGGCTAGGTGCCACTGAAGAGGCAGAGTTTAAAAGTATAGGAGAGAGGAGAGGTCGCTGAGGGGGTAAGATTCTGTGGGCAGCAGCAGGGAGGATGGGAAGGAGAGGGGGTTCCATGCGCCCCGTGGGTGAGCACTCCAGGTACAATTTAGTCCCCACATCAAACAATTTTCCCAAACAACAAACAATTTTTCCAGTGAGAAATACTTAATCCCTGACATTGTTTAGAGCTGCTGGTATGTGACATTAATGTTAAAAAGCAGACCAACGTTGAGTCGGGTTTTTTATGCTTTTAAAATTCTCTGTAGATGAGACACCCACTTACTACCTGCCTCTCTTAGGATGCAGACCCCTCCCTACGCGCTGCCCTTGGAATGCCGCTGGAAACACCTCCTCCAAGATGAGAGGAAAAGATTTATAAGCAGGGTGAGAGAAGGGACTGGGCATGCGCCATCAGATGAAAAGGCAGGGGTCAGGGGAGTGGTAAAGATTAGAGGAGCCGCAAGTCATGACTCAGTGCCAGGGATCTGGGCTTCAGGCGCTAAACAGTCTCACCCCACCTACAGCTTCTCTTTGGGGCCACAGCTCACAGCGTCGTCAGTGAGAGGGAGAGGGAAGGTGCTCCCTCCACCCTACTCAGTTCACACCCTGTAAGAAGGTTCAAATCCAGTGGGGTTTGCTGCCTGAAGCAAAAGGCACCAGCAGATCCTCCAGATGCTGTGGCACCAGGAAGTTTTCATCAGAACCTGGGGAAGTTTCCAGAATTGGACAGAAAAGCCAGAATGCTTGTCATCATTTGAGTCATGCTGGCACCCTTGTCAATCTGCACAGGATGAATTTTGATGAATCCACAAGAGAAGTATTTTTACTAGCCAGAATGCTGAAGAAGATTGTTTGTATTGCTGATTTGACTACTTTCCAAAACAATCAACATTAATAATGTTGCCCTGCCCAATGGAAGATACGTGTACATATGTACACACACACACACGCGCACATACACACACACACACACCCACACACACCCCCCATATCCGTAAGAGGACTTATGACATATGAACCCATTAATCACTCAGGATTATTCCAAACCAAATCAAAATAAAAGCATACTTTCAATGTCAAGACACTTTTCAAAGAATCCCATTTTGGGATTGCCAGTCAATGCTCTGAAAGGATATAGGGTGATCACTTTTTGGAGCAGGCCCGCAGAGGAAATGATAATTCGGTGCATGGTCAGCATGACTTGCAACAGCTGGTTACTTCGACACAGGTTTCCATCTGCATCTGTAACATAAAGAGCGGCACCTGAGCAAAGCCCCGGAGAGCAATCAGTCACCTGGGGGGGCCCCCCCGGCAACGATCCTTGGTTCCCGGTTCCCGGATGGCGCAGGCCCAGATGGTGGGTTCTTTGGGCACAGTGCTTTTCTTCCACGGCCTCTAGCACCACAAAGAAGGCCCTCCCTTCTTTGCTTTTCTTAGCCTCCTGCTATAATTATTCTCTCCCCTTCCCAGAATGTCCATTTTGATGGCCATTAGGCACCCCCCCTGGGAAGGTGGTGGAATCTTGGGAAAGGGATAAAATTTGCACCGTGCGCTTGAGTCTCTAGTGAAAGCAGAGGCAGATCCAGGTTTTGTGAGGCCCTAAGCGCATACAATGGAGGGAGGAGGGTCCTTTCTAGGGTCAGAGTAAAAAAAGTTATAGGCTTAATAGGTTACAATTAAAATACCTGTCTTTTGCAATTTTTGCAAAGACACGCGACCTTCTAAATACATTCCTGTGGCTCCTCCCTGGTCCTGACACAAGCTTCCTCAGTTTTATGCGCCGTATGCCTCTGGGTGGAAGTAGAGAAGGGAGACTATGGACCAACATTGTATTTGGAGACTATGGCTGGGTTATAGGTATCCACGATAACATGTATCCACAAACATGATTAGCTAAGTGTTCCAAATCCCGGCTGGTGCCACACAATAAGATGCATTCTATACACTGACACTGAGTATAAAGACTGCCCTTACAGGGGGTTCCAAATCTTTTCACCAGTTATGGCATGAAGTACTAGGGGCTGTGCCGGTTGCTCGCTGCCAGACCCCGTCGCTGTCCTTCACGTGGACTGTACTGCCAGTGTCGGCTGGCTTCCAGCCGCATCCGGGCATCGGGAAGCAGCCGCAAGAGATGGGAGAAGAGAGAAGTCAGGACAGGATATGTCCTCTCAGTCCCCCTCTGCTTTGGTCCCACTTCCCTGCTAGGAGCTGCGGGTCTCTTCCATGCGCCATCGCACTGTTGGCCCCTCGTTCATGACTCTGTCTTTCCCTGGGATCTAACACCACTCAGCTCCCTCCCTGGGGCCCTAAGCGTGGCAATGACTTCTGGCTGTCGAGAGTCTCTGGGCGTAGCATCTCTAAATCCACTCTCATCTCTTCAAATAGTTCCTTCATTGAAGCGTCTTCATTTAAACAAACCATGTGAATTCTATTTCCTGCAGGGAACTGGAATTACTCAGAGTAGAGTATCAAAAGAAAGAATAAACATGAATTGCTTTATCATTGATAGCTCTTTAAAATATATTATACAAAAGACGTTGTCATTTTTGCTCTTCCCAAGTGTTCAAGTGGTAAATAAAAGACATAATGCGTTTAAGCGCAGGATTCAGAAGTCCTGGCTCACTCTCACAAGATGGCCTGAAGTCATAGTTCCTTGAGAAAATGTAAGTAAGCTGAAAGTAAAGGAAAGTAAATTGTCGCGTTGCCAGACCCTCCAGTCTACCCCCATTCTGCTGTGGCCTGCCTTCCCTGCTTCCTCCCACGGCCAAGGCCTCCACTGCTGCGCACAGGTCTCCTCTCTCAAGGACTTGGATCCTGCCTGTGTCTACTTTCTTCCCTTTGTTATCAACCTCTCTCTCTCTCTCTCTCTCTCTCTCCCCCCCGCCCCCCGGCTTTACTTCCACTGGCATTTAAACATGCCTCAGAATCTCCTATTTGAAACAAAATGAAATAAAACCTTAAACTCACGCCCTCTCCAGCTATCTCTCCATTTCTCCTTTTCAGCAAAACCTCACTGTCATGAATTTCTCAACTCCATTTTGACTTTTAACTCTATCATTCCACTACATATTTTATTTTCAAGGTCACACTGCCAAATCCAATAGTTTATGCCTCTGTCCTCATCTTACTTCATGACTCAAGTTGCTTTCAACCCAACCCACATCAACAACCCTCTCTTTCCTGGAACACTTTCTTCTCTCGGCTTCCATCACATCACACTTTCTCAGCTTCTTTCTCAGGCTCTTCTGCTGTCTCTTCTTCCTCTACTGAGCGTTTAAATGTCACCGTGCTCTGTGGCTTATTCCTCCCACGCCTTTTTTTCTAACAATTTTTTAAATTTAAAACTTTTTTCAATTTTAAATTAAAACTTTTTTTTTTTCATAAGTGAATTCATCTAGTCCTTTGGCTAAAATATCATCTATATGCTGATGATTTGCTCAACTTATAGCTTCAGGCCTGAGGATCAAATTCGTCTGTCCAACATACCTGGTATATCCACTCAGATGTCTAATGTCAAACTCAACTCATTCGAACAAAACGCCTAACCTCCCCCTCCCCCAGTTCATTTCTCATTCACTCTTCATCTCAGCAAGCGGCACCGCCAACCACCCTCTCAGTTATCCAAACCAAAAACCTAGGAGTCACCCTTTACTCCTCACTTTCCCACACACCCAATCCATCAGCAAGTCCTGATTCTACTTTCAAAATACATCGCAAACCTGCCATTTCTCTGCCTCCTTGCCATCATGTTAGTTGTAGCCATGATCACAATTCAACAGCTCAAATTACCTTCCTGCTTCTACTTTGGTCCACCTACAATCCCCTCTCCACCCAGAGGTCAGGAGCAAGCTCCTCAAAATCATACAACAGGTCATGTGCTTAATATACTTTAATGAATTCCATTATACTAGTAATAAAACACAAACTCCTTATGATGGCCAATGGAGTTCCCCATGTTCTGGCCCCTTCTACTAGTTCCCACTGTGTTTCATATTTCATACACTGTTACTCCTCTCCACATCTCTAATTATGCAATCAAGTCTCCTGCAATTATAGGAAGGTGAGTTTTCAATTCAGCACTGACATACGGTTTTTATAATGCAGCTTTCCTCACAGAGCTAGTATTGTTAATATTCCCATATACTATGGTAAAAAGCAAGAGAAATGGGAAATATCTTTGTAGGGTATGCATTTGAATGTCCAGAGGAGCTATGGACAGAGTCACGGGCTTTTCCAGTATGGACAGAATCTAAGACTTGTGACTCTTCTTTCTGGCTGGCTACCATCTTTTAACAATGTTATTTCTAATTCTCACAACAAGTCTGCACTGTTGGTATTGTTCACGACTTACAGCTGAGAAAAGTAAAGCATGGAGAGAGTAGGTCACTCTTCTGTGTCTGAGAGACAATGGGGGCAGGAGCTGGGCTCTGGCTCCAGGCCGGCCGCTCTCCGAGCCCGTGCTCTTCCCACCACACTGGCTGCACGCGGCCTGGCCATGTCTCAAGACAGGGATTCCAGTGTTATGCGGGGCGGGGGGCGGGGCGCGTGCTGAGGTGGATGAGCTGTAAGGTCTCTTCCAGTCCTTAGGGCTACAAGTCAAAGAGAGGCCACAGGGACATTGGATTGGAACCGATGCACATTTGGACTCCAGTGATTTTTGAAAATCTCTTGTAAGCCTCGGTTAATTGATACTGATCATTAAAGTTATCTTTAAGGTAAGAAGGGTGCTGCGCCTAAAATTCACAATCATGTTCACACTCCATTTTACCCTTCACCCCCTCTTGCCCACATGCTCTCTGGGCAGGGAGGGCCGGCGAACGGCAAAGCCAGGACGGGAGGATCCACCCGGCAAAGGGAGGCAGAGACGGGGTGAAGGAAGAAGCTCCTCTGCACCTGGGTCCAGGGACCCCTTCCCGGCTCTCTTTCCCACCAGGAGGATGTCTTGGCATATCACTTGACCTCATTCCTGTCACTATCTCTCCCCTACATGACCTTCCACCCCCCCTCACATGACCTCAACAAGGACTCATTCCCTTCCTGACCTCCCCTCATAAAGCAGGCACTTCTTCCTTTTTGAGGGGAAGAGACTTCTTTTGAAAGTCAAAGGGAATCTGCCTTCCAAGCTGTTGGATTTTGATATTTTGATGTGATTGCTGTAGCTGATTTAAATATTTCAATGCATAATTTGATTTTGTTTGCATCTTGAAGCTTTTTAAAAATGCAGGATGTTATACTACAAATTTTAATAAGTAAATGTGCAGATTTTCTCATTACCACCTGCTTCTCCTTGCACTTCAGGGGAAGACTTCTCGAAAGGGTTGAAACCTCAGTGGGGTACAGAACGTCAATCTCACTTGACTTGGGGTGCACTGGCTGCTAGAGAACCATACTCATAAAGACCCACACAGACTGTGGACCATTTGCTCCACGGAACAGACAGGAAAGTCATGTGGCTTCTGGAGAGTCATTTGCCTGTGAAGCGACAGCCCATTTTCCATGGTTAGACTCAGTGGTCGCAACAGCTACACTTCATGGAATCACAGCTACACTTGGGGTGGAAAAGACCGGAGACATCTAATCTACCTTAACCTTCCATCCAATACATACTTCCTCCTAAAAGTGTCACAGGTAAGTGGCTAGCTAGCCTCTATATGTACTCTTCCAATGAGAGCACAGAGCTCCCTATTCCATAAAGCGACTTTTCATTCTATTACAATCAAAGCCAGTTGTGGGTACAATTAGCCAATATAGATAATTAATCTACTCTGTGCAAGGCACTGTCCTAGGTCCCCAAGGAGAGCTAAAGAGAAGTTAAAAAACTTGTCACTGAGGAGCTCGCAGTCTAGTTGGGGAACATGACACACACCCGGAAACCGGGCAGTGAATATGAGAGTGAAGCCACGGAGGTCACTCTGAGGAGCGGTCACGTTCAGGTCCTTCCTGGTGCGGCGGTTCAGGAAGTGTCTGATATCCATGGTGAAGTGACCCAGATCTTCAAGATTCAAGAGGACCTATGGCCCAGACCTCTTCCTCTCAATCAGCCTGCACACCTTTTTTTTTTTTTCTTTTCTTTTCTGTGGTTTAATCTTAAATAAGCGATTTGCCTGTGAGAGCGATGAACGGCTCCCTGATGATCGGAACCCTGTGACAGCAAACTTGCCCAGGGCTGCGTGCCAGGCCTGCTCCGTGCTGACGGCAGGTGGGCGGCTGTCCTGCGATCGGGGCCGCCTCGGGGATGAGGG